CTGTATGTTATTCCCATAGTGGCATGACGCTCCAGAAGGTAAATACCAGTCCATCCTAACCATGCTCAGAGTTGTTCTCTGCAAATCACCCTCCCCACTCTTTTCTGAGGAACACCTCCCAAAAGGTTCTGTCTCTTGGGAAACTGAGTCCATCAACTTATAGAGAGCCAAGGCAATCTCCTTTTGCTCATTTCCACCCAACGTCTTGTTGCTACACTGCCTTGGGCCAATCTAAGCCATTCTTCTCCCTCCTTGACATTTATGTCTTTATGGAACATGCGGTACCTATTAGACCTTGCACTGAATAATCAGTAACCCAGAGGTCAAACGTGGGCCGTGTTAGGTTTTACTGAGTGTGAAAGCGGGGAATATTCCAAATATATCTGTAAAAGACTACGGTCAGGCCATTCATTACTGCTGTGTGTTAGGAACATTTCCAAGGGGAGGCATGTGTTGGGCTGGTAATGAGCTCTCTTTTGGCACAAGCAGAGCTTTGAATGGGTGTGAAAATTGGAGGCTGAAGGCAGTGGATGACAGACTTGGGGAGGGAGGGAAGTTTGCGGCTGGGGATATTAGAGCGCTCTAGGTTGGGTGCACACTGAAAGGCTGCTCCAACAGGAGGGTGCTGCAAGGCTCTGGGCTCTGTGATGAGCATGCAAAGCGGCTTCATGGAAGAAAGCAAGCAGGAGGATGCAAATGCCTGCAGGGACATGTGAGCATGGCAAACACCTCTTGGTCTCACAGTGAAGGCCGAGGTGGATGTCAGAGGATGCTAGCAGCTGTTTCCGAGTACTGCCAAACACAAGACTTTCTTACGTCAGCGGGGTGGGGGGAGGAGGAGTTTAGTGTGCTGGTTTTCTGTCTCGTCCCAACACTCCTCCCTCTCAGATCCCAAATATGACAGAAAACACTATACTGAGGCCAAATAAGACATTATAGGAGCCAAACCATGACACGAACTCGGGGGCCTGCAAAGGTGGAGAGTTAAAAGGCACTTAGGACTTGTTTTCCAGGCGGGTTTGTGGGACGTTGTTTTAGCCTCGCCCTCCCTGTTTACTGCAGAATGAAAGTGTCCTCAGAATTGGGCCACTCTCTTCTTGTGGCTTCTGACATCAGTGTAGCGGCAAAAAGGCATAGGACCTGTAGCTGTGTTTTTCCAGTGGGTTTGGGAAGCGAGTGACTAATCACAGTAAACACAGCAGGCTGGGTGTGTCCTGCTGCTCAGCCACCCAGTCATTGATGGAGATCCACAGTGGGATGGGCTGGTGATGTGTCCACACACCCACAGACCTGGTGGCAACTGCCCACTCTTGATTCGGGAAACAGATTAAAATGAAAAAAGAGAGAAGAGCAACTGAGGCACCGTTGGTGGATCTTGCTTCATTTTGCCATTTCCCTTAACCTAATAAGGATCTGTCTATGTTCCTCCAGCTCCTTCTTAGTATCTCCAGAGCCCCATACTAGCCACAGGCACTGTCCATCTTTCCCCTTCTCTGGTACCAGAGCCGAAAGGATGCTGCAGCCCCCTCAGTACCCTCCTATGAGGCCCTGTAAGATCTTGTTCCTTACAAGACACAGCGCAGAGAAGTTAAGATCTCCTGTTATGAAAGCAAGGACACTGTTCAGTTTTAGCCTGAATGCATGTGGAAGAGCCTTCCCTGGCTAGGCTATTGTAAATGGCACTTGCAGAAAGGCTCTTCTTTCCTGGAGTTAGTAATGTACAGATTTCAGGAGGACCTGCTCGAATCTCTCCCACCCTGTGTGTTCTTACTGTGGTGACAGTCATTATTGGCTGCAATTACACATTTTTCCATCATTAGGAACGTCATATGAAGCAAGCAGGTCGGTGTGCGTGTACACATTCTGACCTCCTCCTTCTCCTGTGTGAAGATGCCAATGAGCCTAGCCTTAGGTGCACATATAGATCAACAATAGTGTGCTGAAGGGAAACAGGAGCAGAAAGAGCTGGTAAAAATCTGTCCCAGCTAGACTGTCAGATCTAGGGAGAATACATACTTCTAGTGCCTGAAAAGGCCACCTTATGACTCATGAATTCAACAGATTTCATCTGAGGAAAGTCTCAAAGAGGGAAGAAATAAAGAAAAGCATCGGAGTTCTTTTACATTCGTTTTTCTAAAACTGGTTTCTATTGTAAGTGTAATGCAGAAGCCTGAGCCAAACACTAGGCAGCTTCAGGGAGGGCAGACTAGAGCTGAATTTCTTCCGTTCTTTCCTAACTAGTAGGGGACAAAACCATGTGTTCAGTGTTGACAATTTAGCAGGGCTCGCGTTCTGCATTTCTATCCAAATTGGATGGTTGTCGTGTGTTCAGTGTTGACAATTAGCAGCATTTCTATCCAAATTGGATGGTTGTCTTGGGACAAATCTCTCTGGAATGCTGCTGTGAGCAATCAAGGTGGTTAACCTGGTGGATGGAGGGGTTGTAGAGAGCACAGCACAGCAAGGCCACATGGGTCACTACTTCTTCGTCCCTGCTGATACAGGCAATCTCTAACGTGTATGCCACACACAAGACTAGGCTGTTGCGTGAGCATGAGGGGAAAATCCCACTGCTCTAGTGCTTGTCCTGGCTGGGGACGTGGAGCTTCAGCACCAGTGCTTGCAGGCAAGCCTCTGAGAAAATATCCCAGACTTTCAGCAGCTGAGAAAATGAGAGAGAAAGAGAAGCTGCAATTTGTTCCTTCTGCTTGTAGCTAAAGGTGGCTACAGAAACTTTGATTAACCCTGTAGCTTTGGGAAAGTTCAAGTCTGAGCTTTGTGGCTTCAGAAGATCAGGATCTTAAACACTCACTGTAATATCTACGGTAGTGAGAAGTGAACAGGAAGATGCTAATGTGATGTCCAAGCTAAACACCTAACACAGGGAGTCTGAATATGACCCTATCCTCCCTCTGAAGTAGGCAAGCTGAGTTGCTCGTTATTATCATCCTACCCAAGGGCATAAGTCTGAGGGGGCAGAATGCCACTGTACGCCAAGGTTCTGCCCGGACATGTGCTATACACTGTTACGATGGATAATTACTTATCTATTTCTTTTTACACCCATCTTCCAGCAGAATTAAGGACAATAATGGAGTGTGCAGTGAGCACTGAGTGCCCGCCTAGCCTCGGGATGCTTTATGATCATTGCAGTTTTCATCCTTATGGCACCTCTGAGAAGACGAACAACATTCAAGTGCCCATTTTACAGCACCATGCACTCAGCTCTGCAGAAAAAGAAATCCTTAGTAGTGCTGGCTCTGGGGAGAAAGTATGAATGCAAGAGAGTTTGCACTTACCCAGTCCCACTGCAGTGAGCTCGAGAAGGTGTATCCATTCTTCTTTTTATGCTCATATGTGGTTTAGAGCGACTAATTGCTGAGAATTCCTCTCTCCATCTAATTGTCTGCAAAAGGAGAGATTTCAAAGCACAGTAATTGTGGCCACCGTCAAAGGGAAGAGGAGATAAAAGCAGCTCCTATTACCACCAAATGGCCCCACATGTGTTCCTTGTCCATAGCAACTGACAGTATTTGTATCAGAATAATGCATCAAATATATATTTAGCCTTTCACCCAAGGATTGAAAATTGCTTTTCAATGAAACATTAGCTGAAAGAACCCCACACGGCCCTGATTAGATAGGCAAAGAATATATGGAAGTCATTTCCCCCTACTTGCAGAGTGAAGCAGCCCGCCTTTGTAGCGCTAGGAGAGAAGAGTGGCATACTGTGATTGTGCTCCACAGGGAAACTAAGACTGGAAGAGGACTGGGAGAGAGGGAGTGTGCTGAAAAAATGACAAGCAGGTCAAAACCTCTGTTTTGCAAATGCTTTGGACACAGTAGTCAAACAAGGTAGTTTAAGGGTTGCTGGGTATTTCTACATGGAGACAGAGAACTGAAGTAGCCTCAGAGAAATGATATCCAAAGGAAGGGTTGCAGTGCCAAGCAGAGGCCCAGCAGCTGCGCTGTGCTGGGACTGCCAGACCAACAGAAAATCAAATGACAACAGCAATTCTACGATAAGATCTGGAGTGGCCCAGGAAATGAGGCTGCAAGTGGAAATGTTTAGGAGCCACCACTTCCAAGCTTGTAGGGAGCACAGACATCTTATGCCCCAGGATGTGCCAGCTGCCTCCAGCTCTACAGACCAGTGGCTTCATGATATGAGAGCACTCATCCCAGAGCCCAGCAGTACCATCTGGGGCTTTTGGCGACCTTATTCTCAAATACTAGCTTCCCTTCTGTATTTAAAGCCCCTGTCACTGAGCCGAGAGACCCAGAATTAGCCGGTGATGCTGGGTAGCACCCAGCACAGCAGCAGCATGCCGAGTCCTGGGAATAGCTGTCTATGGGGGCCTTTGGCTTCATGGATGGCCACACCAGAAACAGGGGTGGAATGTCCCTGAAGAATAGCGCTCGGCCAGGCTGTCACATAGCGGCTCCAGAGGCACACAGCATGACCTGCCCCTCCAGTGACCAGGAGACTCAGGGGTCTGCAGTAAGCAAAGCACTTCGCGCCCTGGAAAACACAGGCACGGCGCCATCAGCCGGGTGTGTGCTGGTATCCTCAGAATCTCCCCAGACAGGCTGGGGGCTGTGCTGCTGGCTGCAGACCTGGCTGGGGAGAGATGCCAAGAGAAGTATTTTTTTTTTTTTCGTCCTTTTCACATTCTCAGCTTGCGACTCAGTTATCAACTGTTGTTACCTTTGCATCTCTGGCAGATAAAGAAAGCATCACAGAATTAGCTCTGTGTCACCAAGGAGCGCTTAAATATTGTGATTACAAAATTCCAGTCTTGCATAATCTACTCAGACGTGCAGGAAGAAACCTTTGCGGTTAGACTGCCTGTGCTCTGACAGGAGGGCAGAAGATCTTCCTTTTTTTCTTTTTTCTGTGACTGTACCTTTCTGTGATTTTAGAGCAGCAGGGAAAAAAAAGCCTGTTAGATATTCTTCGTTATGCTAAGTCTGTTTTTACTTTCCATTTGCCAAAGCATGATAAATGGAACAGAGATTACTTAGAGACTTTCAAAGATTTGCTTTCAAACTTTGGTTTTTTTTGAGCCTCATTAAAACTGCAGATTTTAATCTACACTTTGCCCTTCAGTAGAACAGCGTCACCATATAATAGCAGCTGTATTTTTTTATTTAAAATTAAAACCAGATAGATGCTTCTCATGCTTTGCTTTCAAATCCTATTTTTAAAAATAGTGATCAAGTGTATTTTGTTTTTCTTTTCCTGTGGCACTGCCGACACTGTAAAAGACAATCACTAATGAAAGGCTTTCAGTCCTGGACCGTTGTGTACTACAGTTTGTTCTGTAGACTTAGGAAAAGATTTTAGATAGTATAATGTATAGATTAAAAAAAAAGTGATTTTCGACAGTGTGATAGGCAAGAAAATAGATTTAAAAACAAAACCTGTGCAATCAGGGGGCACAGACCAACTTCAACATGTTAGCATAGCCTGTGAAGTGCTTAGGGGCATTTTACAGGAGCTAATTACTGTTGAAAGATCTGGTCCTCTATTACTTAAGGAAAAATGATGAAAAATCTTCTCACTGCCTCAGGCATATCCTGATTCTTACTCTCTAGGAGAGGTTTGGAGGAGGGTGACAGGAGCTGAGCATGAGGACAGCCTGGGGAGGCACACACAAAACACACCTAGCATACCTGATGGTGTGCTCTTTGCTCAATAATGAAGCTTAGAGGTTTCAGGACAAAACGGCCTCGAGCCAGGAAAACTGACCCACCTTCTTGATTTTTCCGAGTGTACATCTTCCTCTTTCTGTGATGAGAAGTTGCGTTGAGAAGGTCTCCTTCTGCCTCGTACCAGGCATGGGAAACAGCTTACTCAGGCGTGCGGGGATGGTGTGAAAGCACAGGAGCTGGCTATGTTCTCCACATTCCTGGAGGAAGGTAGAGGAGATAAATGACCCAAGGCAAGTTTATCTACTAGCACCCTGCCATGGGAATAGGAGCTTCCCTTGCGTGGAGTGGGGGTGAGGACAGCCCATCCTTTTAGCGCTGCTACAGCAACCCCAGCCACTGTTAAGAGCACCATGACTTGGTGTAGAGGTGAAATTCTTCATGCTCGGCTCTGCCCAGAACTGCCCCCAATACTCAAAGTGCTGCTAGTGATGTTTTTATCCAGACTTGACCCCCAAGAACTTTGTGTGAACTGGAAAACAGCTCATTTAGAAGGGTTTTCTGTATTTCATTCCAGACTCACTCAACAAGATCTAATAATAACTAACTGCTTCTCTATTTATAAATGAGAACAGCGATGAGCAACTCAGCTCACGTGACTGGGGCCACCGCAACCCCTGGTGCTCCCATACAATGCCGTGGCTCTAGCCCTTTGTCATCAAACTGTTCCTCTCCGCTGTCCTGCCCAACAGCTCCCCAGCAGCCCTGCCATTGTGTATGGGAAAGGGCAGTTCCCAAGGCTGTATACACATTATATTTTTGTCTGTTGACAGGGCATATTTTCCAATTCTTTTTAAAAAGGGATCATTTTGTAGCAGCTCCTACTCCAGTCTGTAAAACAAACATTCCCCAAGCACTCAAAGTTTCTGATAATGTTATTGTTACTTGAATGTCAGCAGGAATATCAGAAACTTACTTCTTTCTTAGTGGCACCTGGGGATTTTGTGGCTCTTAGCATCACCCACTGAAGATACTCTGCTCATCTCGCAGCAGTCAGATATGATACAGAGGGCTGATACATCCTTTTGGCTGAGGCAGCTGGATGCGGCCCCTGCTTTCGGTCTGAATTGGAAAAGCATTTGGGCTTGGATTAACACGTGCTAGCCCCTAGCTCTCGCCTAGCCTGCACGCAGGAGGGGAACATTAGCTCCACTCCAGCTGGCTCAGCTAGAGCCTAGGCTGGAGTCAGGCTGTAGCTGCTGGGCTGCCACAGCGCTGCTCCCTCTGTCTGTGCTGGCTGGACATCTCAGGAGCTCACTACTGCCAGGCTTGGAGCACCAGCACTTCTCGACTGGCCAGTTCATTTATCTTTGCAATATGCCAGCAAGGTTCCAGTATCCCCCCTGTCCAGGCAGAAGACTTAAGCGTGGAGAAAGGAGAGCTGATGGCATGGCAGCCCCAAATTCACTGGCTCACTCTCCCCAGGCTCTATTTTCCCGGGTGCAGTGAGCAAGGAAAGTGCTTAGAAAGGGTCAGTGCATCACCTTGGACCACCCATCAGAGGGTACACGTATCAGCAGCTGGTCACATCAACCCTCACCTGCACAAAAACTCTCTGTGGTCCCAGCTGATCAGCAAAGGGTTTTTCAAACAGGCCCACACGAGGCTGCAACAGCCTGAGCAAACTAATTACATCATGGTTGTCCCCCCAGAGCAGCAAGGAGTCCCTGGGACCTGACGAAGAGGCAGAGAGGGGTTGGAGCTTGCCTGTCACATCCAGAGCTCCTTTCCTGCTCTGTCAGCGAGTCCTCGGCAGCTGATGAAATGCATGGAGAGCAGCGACAGCCCTGGGAATGCTTGCTGTGCTCCCGGCTGATGCCAGATGGGTGCTCCGCTTTGGTGGTCTGGTGAACTTTGGTAATCTCGAGGCAAGAGACCTATGCAGGGGATCACACTCTGGGAACTGGTCCTACACCCTCAGCCGCTGACAGTCACCCACATTTGTCCCTGCCTTCCCAGATAGCTCTGGTGTCATGGTGCACTGGACAATTTGCAGCCAGCTCTGCTTTTATCCACAGCATTGCCTCTGCTTCCCTTACAGACAGCATTGTACCTTGGTACCTGCGTATCTGGGAAATGATGGATAGAGGTGTTTTCCCCTGATACTTTCCCTCGCTATCTGTGCTGAATGCAGGATACCAGATTTGATGAATATGCTCTGATCTGTTCTGACAAATACTCTGTTCCCTGGTAGATAATAATTAGAAAATCTTCCCAGATAAATTCTAGTTTCAGATCTGTTTGCTTGTTATTCCTTTGGTGCTAATTAACTTCCTCTCTCTCTGAATCTGGGGCATTCATAGCCCCTCAAATGAGAAAGGGGACACAGATTTATTGCTGCTGAAGTCAGCATGGGACCAAGCACATTCTTAAGACTATAAAGACGGATAGACCCTTCCCCACTAGTGTGACCTGTGCATGTCCTGAGCAAATGAAACTCTTCGGAGAGGTGTGCCATGGACATGTTGAAGAAATGAATGTCCATGCTGGTGGGAGCCACTGCCATTTTGCAGACATTGGCCATGTACACAGTATCTGTTGTCCAGCATTTAAGCTTCTTTCTTCTGCTCTGCAAATCCTTGTTATCTGCCGCAACCTGTTAGAAAGCAAGTGGAGAGCTGTAGAACAAGACACTTGCTCATAAGAGAGGCAGTGGTGCCACCTTCAGCACAAAACAGCTGGGGTTTCGTGGCCTGAGGACTAAACGAGCTCTGGGCTGGTAGGAACTGAATCACCTCTCCCAGCTCCCCTGGAGTCTCTCTCCAGGCTGGGCAGTGTTAGTATGGGAACTGGAGCTTTTCCTTGGAAGTCTTCGGTAGAAAATTGGAAGTATTCTGACAAAATAGTCTTCGATTGTTGTACGTTTTCTTAAGAAAGGAGAAACCGAGCAGTGGTTTACTAACTGATACAGCATTACCTGAGGAGTTGTCCTCATGCTCAGCCCAGTCCTTTACAGCTCCCTTTACCTTGCATGTTTTCTGCACCTGGAGCCTGTGGTCCCGCGCAGTGAGACCTCCTTCCCTGCTGATGCTCACAAACCATGGCAGCGGGAGCGAGGAAAGTGCTTAGAAAGGGTCAGTGCATCACCTTGGACCACCCAAGCGGTGTTGTCAGCATCCTGGTAGTTGCTTCTTACTGCAAAATTAAGGTCAGAAGTTGGTCTTGCACCAGAGCCCCAAATCTCTTAAAGGCTATGTATGAATCAGTTCTCAGTTATCCTCATTTCTCATTAATGCTGTGTCTGTAACTCAACCGTCATATTCCACGGTAGCAATATAAGATGGAAGCCACAGTCCTTTGTGGTTAGAGAAGCATTTGACTGAAAAAGTGAACGTGAAACAGGCAAAAGCAGCAATGACCAAAGAAGGGGTGAAAGGAGGATGAGTTCTCCAACAGTGAACATGCAGGCTCAGGAGTACCTGTGTATTTACAGTTGTCTGTTTGTCTGACCAAGCCCCGGTGCTAGGAGCTGTACGGATTCAGAATAAGAGGTCTTCTCTAGTGTGACAAGGACCTATACAGAGAAAACACGAAGTGGCTGTGACCAGCCCAGATGCAGACCTGCATGCTGTAGATTAGGACCCTAATGGGAGGGAGACACCAGAACGAGATGCGCATCAGCAAGCTGGTGGGAACCCATGCTGGCAAGGATGGTAAGAGCCATCTGGTCTGGATCCTACCTTGCTGAAAAGCAGCTCCAGTTGGTTGTTCGAGGACTTGGAGATGGTCAGCTCTGACAGGGCTCTATGGACCTTCCGCAAAAATTTCCAAATTTCAGAAAGTATAAATCTGAGTATAGTTAATGAACTGGAGATTCTCCTTTACAGCAAGAATGCTGTACCTATGCATTTTTTCCTTAAATCTTAATAGCACTTAAGTGTCTTGGTCTTCTTGAGATCAAGACCAAGACAACAGAGCCTTTAGAACAAATTTATGATGGGATTAAAAATATCCGCCTCTGGTCATTATGATAGTAAGTACTCTAACAAATGGTATTGGCATTGAAGGGAGACTTTATCTGCTATTATTGACCTTCATTATATTCTAATGAGAAATATTGCTATTCTGAGCGGCACTTCCATAGAAAGGATTAAATAAGCACCTATATTTTGTTCTATTCAAGTTATTTTTATATTGTATTTTCACTGCTAATGTACTGGAAAGTGTGCAACAGTCATCACTGACTAATATTTGTTATCCCCAGGAACAATTCTGCCATAAATTGATAGTGCCATTCCACTTCCAGCTTACAGGAGATAAAGCTCCTGCAAGTGCTGAATGCACTCTCCTGCAGTCATGACTTGTGTCACTAGAAGACGAGCTCCTTTGAAGGGGTAGATGAATGTTGGAATAGACCTTACTGTGCTGTACTTGCTAGTTCTTCTTGTTTATAAGCCTCCCAGGAAGAATTCAATGTGTGCTTTTCTGTCACTGACTTTTCAGGTACTTTCCCTCGTTTCTGTAAACTCTTACATTTTTTCCACAGCTTTTCCCCAGTGTGACAAATCTCCTGGATAGCTGACAGAACCATCCTGAGTTTATCAGGAAAAGGGATGAGTTGTTAGCTCTCCTCTTTTCACTCATAAGTGACCTATCACCTAGTCAATATTTTCTTATTGCCATAGCTATCAGGGATGCTGGTATTTCCTTCATACTCTGTTGGATTTTTCCCCTGTACTGGCTCTAAGGAGCCTCCTGCTACAAAGAGAAGGATGCCATGGAGTAAATGGGCCGTCATTTCAGAGCAAAGTGTCTGAAAGATGCTGAGGGCGAGGACTGTGCGGCATCTCCCAAGTGGCTGGCCTTCCTTGTCTGTGCATGGCCAGCTCTTCCTCTTTGCCACATTCATGCAAGTGAGTGATTGCAATGAATTGAAGATACTCCTGTTGCACTCACATGAAGAAACAGCTCATAGATTTCTTGCTGGGAGACAGAAGAGCAGCCCTTCTTCCCTGCAGTAAATCCTCTTTTTCAGATCTCATCTCAAAGCAACTCTTTTGCAGCGTTGAGGGCAAATGATCAGTATTTCCTTAATGGGTCTGGGTATATTTAATCCAGCATTGCTGAAGTGCAGAAATGTTATCCTCTAGACACCCTGCTTTCATTTAAACAGCTTGTCTCTGGTTATTGCGTGAGGGAGAAGGAAAGTGGAAGGGCGATGTTGCTGCCATGGTGCCTGCCTGGGTCTGCAAGGGCTGAGATGATGCCTCAGAGGCACCAGCCGTTTAGCGGATGTGGATCACCACGTCCGGCACAGAGGGCGAAGAATGCGTGCAGTGCAGCAAGGGCACCACACTGCATGCTCTGGATGTGAGGGACCAGGCTGGGCAGACCTGGCCCTAGCTTCCTTCACTTCAGTGATAAATTTCAGCAATGCACCAGCTGACGGTATTGCCCCAGCTAGGCGCATGAAGTAATTATGGATCTGGGTTTCATCCCCAGGTCTGAGGCTCTTGTCTATAATTGTTAGCAGGCTGGGCCAGTCCAAAAGGCTGAACTGCCTTAAGAGATGGGAGCAGGACAACTGGGCGGTAAAAATACTGCAGAGACAAACCTACCAGCTGATTGGGAGCTGGGATGTCACTCCCCTCCAGTATCCTACTCTTGAAGAGCTCAAAGAGGAATCCAAGCCATGCACTACTGAAGTGTAACCAGGAGATGGCATTCATCGAATAGAGATGTTCCCTGGGAGAGCAAGCTGGGAAAGGCACAGCTAGTCCCAAGAAGCCTGCTGCATGTCCTCAAAAATGTGAGCAAAGTGACTCATTATGGCAGTTCCAGGAAAGAAAAGAAAAGAAAAGTCTCACATTTTCTTTCTTGGAAATCCATTGTGCAAAGTCCTTTCACATGGAAAAAAGCACATAAACCCCATTTTATTTTGAGAGTGGGGAAAAAATAAGCACATTTCCCCGCCTTTGAAAACATGCAGCTGTCAGGACATGCCTCTGTCTTCTGTCCCCATGGCCTTTCCTGCATGAGCAGAGCCGCCCGTGACTACTGTTTCTGTTCCTTTCATTCAGCTGCCCTTCATTCATTGCTCTAGTATCCCATCTGTGAGTAAGTTCCTTGAAGAAACTCTGTTTATGGCTTATATGAAGTCATATGAATAGTCAGCAAATTGAAAAGGTCTTTACTGACAAATCAGACCGAAATAGCACAGCAATATTTACACGTCTCCATGGCTGAGCAAGGAAAGTTTGTAGTCTCTGCCTCTGAACTGCAGGTAAGCTGGGTCACAGACTGGGTGAAATACATTTTTTCCATAGGGCATGTTTGGCCCGTCTTCATTTATGGGAGCAATATTTAGGCACCTGTATCTGAGGCAGTATACTAGGAAACAACAAATGAGTATTTTTTTTCTAACTATTGGCAATTTCCCCTTTCTAGGAAAGGAAGAATAAAGGATGTACAATCAGTCATTTAGAGACTAGAAGAAAGATTTGTTTTCAATAAAAACATGACCTACAGCCCTTCTGCTAGAAACATTTCATTTCCAGGAAATTGGTGTCCATATCAAACAGATGATTTTTGAAACACATTGGCACTGTTGGTAAGCCATATACTATACCACTTAGCCCACGCCCAGTTTGTAACCAAAGAGGAGGATTTTTTTTTCCCCAGAAGAGAGTTTTTTTCTCTCTCAGTTTTCTCTTCTTCTGCTTAAATGTCAGAAGTTAACTGAAGTACTTAGTCAGCAGCGACTTAAAGAGTACCAAGAGAAATGAGACGAAGCAACTCCTTTGGTCCATCGTCAGAGTCCTCTGAGGACTCTGCAAGGACAGGGCAAGCCCATGGTGCCGTAAGGGTGCAAGGACAGGGCAAGCCCATGGTGCCAGTGCCCCAGGCTATTCTTCGTTGCTTTGAGGCTCAGGGTTTTCCTGAGCCTGAGCATGTTTAAGAGCTCCTAATGCATTGCTTTTTTTTGTCCATGAATTTGTCCAGGCACTTTTTACAGCCAGCTAAACTTTTAGCTTTCACAGCCTTCTTGTGGATGAAATTAGTTTCATTTCATGCCCTCTGATTCTTAGACTGGAATAGTTGGTGAAGGATGCCACCGTGAAGGACATCTGGAAGGTAACCAGGAATCATTACTCACTGTCCCTTCCACTCTGAGGACCCCTATCAGTTTGCCCATATAACTAATACAACCAATCTTACATGAAAGCCCCAGGACAGTAGACAGATGTTCTGCAAACTCAAGAAATCAGACAAAGACAGCGCTGTGCAACCATTCGTTCACTGGAACCCATTTCTTACTTTTTAATCGCTTGTGACATGCAGTTACTTATCCTCAGGCAAAATGCAGAAGGATCCGTTCCTCATCCAGTAGGGTTTGATATAGCGATGCTACATAGTGTTGGCAGGAGCCTTCCATCCTCGCCTAAGAGGAAAAAATATATAGTTGTTTCAAGGCCAGTTATTTCTGAAATTAAAACAGCATAAACAAGTATATTTGCTTCTTTCCATTGTTCCTTCTAAATTCCTACTTGGCATCTTGAAAAACCTTTAGGGGAATTTGCCTTTAGAACTTGAAACAACCTTCTCACAGTGTGGTCAAAGAAAACTAAGGTATGTGGGTGGAAGAGGCCCTGTGCCATTGTCAACAGTCAAAACCAGCAAGTAGATGTCTTTAGCTACATAAGGTGAGGCCAAATGGAGCAAAGCACTGCTTCAAATCTTCCTTGCACCCTAGTCTTTAAAGGCAGATAGTAAATACATGTTGCGATTGGGCACTCAGTGGATATTTCCAGCGACCCAGTGCAAACTTTTCCTGTTAGTTCGCCTGTGGACACACCACTTAAATAGCTGAAGGAAACTGAAAAAGACCATCTACAACTAAATCCTAATAATACTAACCTCCCTCCATGGCAGTGCTCCAGCTGCTAAATTATCTGCTATCAATTACTTCCGTGGAGGCGTTCTCAGCCTGATGTGTGGCTGTTGGAAGGTGGGATCCCAATGGGTCCCAGGGCAGGTGATTGCAGTCAAAAATAGCTTCCTTCATGTGCCTGGCTGTGAATGTCATCTTAGGTCCTTTTGGCAGGTTTTGCTGTTAGAGGAGCCAACTCCTGGTGTGGCCCCTGGCTCTAGAGGAGTGAGATATGGAGAGAAGGAGTGAGAAGGCTGTTGAAAAGAAGAAAGTGTTGCTCCAAAGTGAGGATCGGCATGATGTGTCCACCTGTAACAGAGGTGCATATCTCATATATTCAAGGTTCTCCTGGACTGGCAGTATTTACTTGGTAGAGACAAGGGGATTGACGGTAGTTACAACTCCTCCAAACAAAACCGGAATATTTTACAGCCAATAGTTGTCGTAATCAAGTGGAATGACCTGCTCCAGCATGCCCCAGATCCCTGGGAAAAGCTGCCGCTGCTTTTTACTGTGCTAACCTCATGGCCATGGGCAGCCCCGTGAATGGACGAACCAGCAGTCCATGGGCAGCAGAACCAGCAGTTGGCTTTGCCCTCTGCAGAACAACACCTTCCAGGCACAGGGACAGCTGGGGGGTGTGCGGAGACTTCCTCTTGTGTTTGGGGTGGGAGGGGGAGAGAAAAAGGCTCCTGCAGCAAACAGCTTCTGAGCCATATGAAGCTCTTCAGAGAGGCCCTGTATCCAAAAGGGATAAGAAGCATAAAAATCTGGCAGAGAAAATCCCACCCTGGAAGTGGGGCACAGGAAGGAGGGAAAAGGAGGAGAAGAGTAAGAAATCTCAGCAAGAAAAGTCTATCCTAACCCAGCCTTTGGCATTTGGGCCTCCAGCTCCTACTGCAATCCATAAAAACACTTATTAACCTTCTCTGACCTGACCTAAGACCTAAGGATTACTGTACTTACTGGTCCACACTTCTGTCATTTTCTAGTAGCCAAAATTCATTCTGAGAGGCATAAGACATTGCAGGAGGGATTTATTCACTCTCCATGCAAACATACAGGTGATTCTCAGCTCCTGCACAGCTAACTGCCTTTGCTAACTTGCCCGTCCCTAAAGCACTACCTGATGTCTGTGTCAGGACAAAGATGCACAGTAACAACTGAACACTTCCATTTTGCCTAGAACATAAGTTCATGAACTTCTGTTATCATTCAAGCATGATTTAATTAAAACATCATGACTTACACAATCATCTCTCTCTATGTCCCTCTCTCCACTCTTTTTAAAAAACGTTTCCTGTGTTTTCCAGCTGGACAAGCTAGCCTTCTGCCTTCTTTGAAGTAAATATTTTGTTGGGTTTGGCTGCTGTCATAGCCACACGTAGTCTTCTGCCTAATATTTTATCCATCTGGTGCTAAGGAACTAAAGAATGTTCTGAGCTGAGAGTCTCAAAAGGGTTTTGAGATGTTAAGTAGAGTTAAGGAGCACCACTGCAAGAGGAAAAAAAAATGCATTAATTCTTTTCAGCTTTCATGTGCATGCTAAGTCAAGCTGAAATGCCTTAAAACCAAAATATTCTCAAAGAGGCTTGATGTGACCTCCTGGTGCTCATATGCTGTAAATTGGAGAACATACACCGCTTTATTAGCTGAGGGCCTGATATACCCTACTCACCCCCTCCATAGTTCACTTACAGAGATTAAATCCAACACTGATTTCCTCTTTTGCCTCAAGTGAATGGAAAAAGAGATTTGGATTCTTGTGCATTCGTGGTTGCCAACATCTGCCTTGCCTCATATCTGTGCTTGAAGAACATCTGGCTCTGTTCTAGGATGGCCATGTGTGGGCAATTGTGCTGCATAGACTAGGCCATGTTTCCTGTGATAAAGCATCTCTAAGGTTCATTTGTCTGAGCTTAACTTCAGGCAGCTGCCTGGAGAGACTTGCTCCTTCTCGCTGCTTTGTTGTTCTTTCTGCAAGTTGGGCATCCGAGCCATTACTCGCTTTGTAGGCGGAGGCTGCTTGCTAACGTTATATCTGCTCTGAAAGGAAGTACAAATAACTTTGCTTGATGCTAGTCCTGTCTCAGATTTTTTTTTTTTTTTTACCCCAGGGCTGCTCTGAAGAAATGATGTTTGTCGTTTATTTGAGCTATGAAGCCTGGAAATGCTGGCCTGGAGGAGAACACACAGGGCAGCTCAGTTCCTGCGGTGAAGGTGGCAGGGCTCCGCGCAGCTGGCCGTGGGGCCCGAGGTGCTTTGCCTTTACCTTCCCGGGGTGTCTATGGGCAGAACATTGGCTTGTGGGGAACCACAGGAACCGTGTTACAGGCTTTCTGCAGGATATGAACTCTTCACTTAGCCTGTCTCAGCTTTACACTTCTCCATACGAGTTTCTCTTGTAGACATTTTGAAGTTTATATCACTGCTTTTTCTAAAGTTCCTTGAAATTCTCAGAAATACCACTTCTTGTGGTCACGCTTAAGGGAAGCATTTAAACTAGACAACATTAAATTAATATTTGCTGTACAGCTGCAAGAGTAAGAGGACACCTGGAAAGCCATTTCCTTCTTGCCCCATGTTTTTCAGATCCCACTCCTTCACTCACCCATGACCCTGCAGGGTGAATACACCGTCCCCTAGCTCCCAAACCAAGAGCACGCACATACCTTGTTTCCACTTGTCTCCAGTACTGAAGAATAACAGACTGACAAGGTTTTTCTCATCTAACCTGAAACACATGGGCTACTCTTTGCTGTCCACTTCTGGTAGCTTGTTTGGGGTCCGGTGGAAAACAGGTTTGGATGCAGCTGGGGCTCAATGGCCCATTGTGCACATCTCCCGTGGAGGCTCTCTGCCTTTCATAGTGCTCTGCTGGGCATCTGCACAAAATGCAAAATGACAAAATAGCATAAAGAGGGCATTATTAAACCTAATAAATAAGAATCTCTCCGGCAGTAAGACTAACTTATTGCACAATAATTATTTTTCACAAGTTTTCTAAGGGGAACATGCAGCATCCACAGCAAGGAGCTATCTCACCCACTCCAGAGGCTTTGCACCAAAGAGCTGCAGGCATGGTTCCTGATTGCCAAGCACCAGGAGGTGGTGGTGGTGTCCTACAAGGCAGTGCCATCAGCTCTTTGCTTCAGATTTATCAGCAGAGAGATCGTCTGCGGGGAGGGCTTGCGCGGTGCAGGAGAAACAAGCAGAGCAGCCAGAGCATCGAGTTGGTTTCATAGCTGATTGCCTGTTGGGCAGAGAGGCCCATACTTCCATGGGGCTGCTCTTAGTCCTTCACTTTGCTTGCCCTCTAGAGCGAGTGCAACTGTTATGGTATTTCTTTTTCCCCTACAGCTCAGGACAGGGGGAAGGAGAGAGGTGACGGAAAGCTCTGAAGGGAATATTTAAAATGCCTGTTAATTTCCTGGAAATCTTTTGTCTTGTTCTTTTTCAATAGAAAACCTACGTCCTCCTGAACTGTACAAGAACTTTTGTTCATTCTCTTTTGCCTGGCTGAGCTCAGCTTTGTGTTGCTAACAGATCCTGATTCTCCAAGCTCTGGCCAGCAGCCAGGACCCAGAATTCATGACTTTGTGGTGGCAATGGCACAAGACCTGTCCTCCTTCCCCGCCGGGTGATATGAAGTCCCGGCCCAGCTGGCTCCCCCTTTGGCAGCTTTCTGTGGCTTTATTTCCCTGTATTCTTTGTGCAGAAGATGATGGAGCCAGCTCAGCTTGGTTTGGCCTTCCCCTGCAATGCCAAGTAAAGGAAAGCACCAGCTACAGTAGAGAATAACTTGTCCAACCCAAGGTGCTGGAGTGAGGAGTCAGACTGGTGGCAGTTGCTTGGAAAAAGTGATTGTGCAGGAGGTGTTGGAAGGAATAGTCAAGGCTGGAGATGGTTTATTCCTCAAGAAGAAGAGGTCCAAGCCTTACCTCTGCAATGCAATTGCCGTGGGGAGATTTTGTACCTCAGTCCTACCTGCTTTGGCTTCCCTGTCGTGCTGTGCTTGCCATCTCCTTTGTCCCCCAGTGACACTCTCCCAGGGGCCAGCCTTTAGCCCCACACCTGCGTGTGCAGATAGTGCTTCCCCTTCCCTTTGCATGTTCAGCTCCACTCGCAGCATCAGGGGAAGGGTTTCTGGTTTGCTCCTAGCAGCACCCCAGCCCTGACAGCTTCAGAGGACGAAGGAATTGCCTGCAACCCCAAGAAGCCACCAAGAACGTTTCTGGGGAATAAAATCTGCAGACCTTCAGGCTGTTTGCACAGCTTTCATTACTATTTGTATCTCTGTATCATACGAAGACCTCCGATAGGCCCAGATCCCCTTGTGCTGAACAACAGAAAGATATTTCCTGGTTATAGAAGTGAGGGTCTGCATAAGAGAAGAGACACAGAGGCAAACAGAGACAGGCACAGGAGGGAGAGGATGAGAAGAGGTAAAGGAAGTCTGGGGTCCATCTACACACCCCCTCCCTGTTGTTCCCCAGCGGAGGGCAACGGGCAGAGCGATGTCCCTGCTTCCAGCAGAACGAGAAGCAATGCCCCTCGCCCTCTGGAGATGCCTGTTCTGCTGGGATTAATGCTTTCCAGATGGCTAAGCTCACATGAGAGCAACCCCGTCCTGATTTTGTAAGTCCGTTCAAACCAGCAGCCACCACGGCGAAAGGCGCCCCTCTCACCAGCCAGCATCTCTAGAGGCATAAACCACAAAATGCTAGTAAAAAAAATTAACAGGAACAGGTCACATAAGCTGACATTATAGAGACTCACGGCCTACATTGCCCTGAATTCTCTAACTCTGCCGATATCCCTGGGGCATTAAATAAGGCTCTTCCTTTTCACTGAGTTTACATTTTCCGGAGCTGAGTGTATGAACAGGTGACCAAAATGTTCAATGATTTCACTTACTAATTTTCCCAGGGGTGGTGAGTGGATCCAGAACCATTGTGCAATCCAGAGGGGAATCATCTCTCTAAAAATGTATCCTCCAACAGCCAAAATGTGTTTTGAAGCTGAGCAGGAAACGTACATAAGCAGTGATTGCAACATAGTCACCATTGCAGATTATATAAAGAAAATTAGACTGAATATTTGGACTCAATGTGATATTCAGCAGCTTCTGTTGCTGTAAGAATCCCATGAAAGGTGCTTTATGCGTGTCTGTGTTAATAAACTCTTCCCACTTTTACAGTAGGGTATTTAAAAACCATGAAAATAGAGAAGTTGCTGCTGTGCTATTTGTTTGTAAACTCATAGAGAAAAATGGATGGCTTTTTACTAGACTTTTTGACCTAAATCAAAATTATTTTGGGGGAAGTGTTCAGTGGTACATAGAGTTCCTCAGGCGATGGTTTGCAAAAAAGGAATAATCACAAATCTCAGGTCTTTCCGCTTTGCCCTTTGTATAGTGTGACATTTCCTGTAGGGTGTCCCTAAACAGACACTGCTGTTAATTTATTGTACAGAAAATGAGAAGAAAACATCTTAGGATTTTCTTCTATGTCATGAGCACATGAGCATGAAAAAAGGTGACACAGCAGCAGTCCTGACACTGCTGCTGCAAAAGTCACTAAACACAGTCAAACCCAAGAGCCAACCTTCCTGACATTGTCCCCCGGACACAATGCTGGGTGCACTGGTCCATCAGCAGTAACAGCAGCCTCCTCTGCCCAGGAGGGGAGACGCTGCGGTGGGGACGCGGCATGGGACCCTGGGGCCGAGTGCTGCCTCCCTGCAGCCAGGGCAGCTCCACCGAAGGCCTCCACCAGTGCCCATGCAAGCAAGCAGCCTGCTCTCCTGCCCGCAGCGAGCAATGACTCCTTGTCCTCCTTGCTGCAGGACTTAGACATGGAGGACAGGGCCTGCAGCGTGTTTTTGAAGTACAGTCTGATTACGTTGAACAAACTTCATGATGTCAAATTGACTTGCCCAGAAAAGAGCCCCTTTACAATCAGGGCAATGACCATGTGCAGTAGCGGCAGTCAGGGCTACGGACAAACGTGTTGCAGCGCTTCAGTGGTCTGTGCGTTTGTTCCCAAGAAGCAAAGTCCCTTCCAAACCTTAGTTTTCTTTCTTTTGACCAACACACACGATTTTCCGACCCTTTTGGCAGCACTGTAAATATTTATGCTCCCCTCTAACCAATGTGGTGATACAGCTCCTTTGTCCTGTCCTTTGCTATATGACACGTCAGCTGCCGCACAGATCTGTTATGAGACAGGCTGACAAGTTTGTGTTTCAAACAACAGCTGACATACAGTGTGTGCCCACTCTAACACCTGGATTAATTGTATTACCCCCTCATTTGGCTCAGTGCTCTCATTCTCTGCACCAGCTCAGACACCCACTGGCCCATGGCTCACGCAATAGCGCTGCTAGTTTGCTTCTATTGGTACCAACTCTTACAAGGTTTGGCTGGCTTCTGACCTTAGCGATACTTTATCAACGTCCTGGGGAAATCTGAGCAACTTAATGGAGGCACCCAGCACAAATTAAATCCAGTCATGACCTCAGTGGTGCGGAGGTACCTGCAGACCAACACCAGTTTTGACCTGTGACATTTTAATTGGTCATTGCAGCAAAAAATGAAGCTATTAACGGGTATGAGGTTAATATTCAAAAGCACAGCTTAACTCAGGGAGAAAGTAATGGATCTATTGTGAGATGCACAGAACAAACTGCAGCTTTGCTTTGCAAAAAGATTAGAAAGAGATCCAGCATGCTTCCTTCCTAAAAGCTCTGTAAGCGCATCAGTACCTCCAATTTCCATGGAACGTGTTTCTGTGCTGTTGCCATACCTTTCGGTGGGTTTTTGGATGTTGATTGCTTTTCTGTCAAAGGCTGTGCCAGAGAGGCATGTCCCCCCATTAATGCTTTCTTTATCACTTGCTTCTCCTTTCTTACCCTCTCAAAGGCTGCATATCTGGCAGCTCTTCAGATTCCCCTCTGTTAGGACAAGCTAACAGCAAAGATGGTAACAAACTGCTGAAATGCTTCCAGGCAAGAAATGCTCCAACTTTGATTACAAAACAGAAAATAGGAGTGGTGCCTTGTGAGAACCGCTGGTTTCCAAGGAGAGTAGCTGACTGTACAAGTGACAATGATGCAACCCAGCACGGAGGAAGTGCAGAGGTGAGTGTGCTCTCGGAGCAAGACTGCAAAAAGCGTAAACACGAGTGGTTGCAGCCAACTGGCAAACAGCACTGTTTGTGCCACTTGCTGGACACAAGGTAGTGCCTTCTGAGTACAAGGTCCAGGCAAATTTATGAGGTACTTCCCCATGTGCTCTTTTATTGTCCAACCCTTTGCAAATCAGGGACTTTCTGACCTAGACATCATTTCTATAAATTCAGAAGCACTCACTGAAAAATCCAGCTTTACTGTGAAACAACAAACTTGTGGCAGCCCCAACATCCTGTCCCAAGGAGCCTCAGGCTCAGCTGCAGTTTGAGTGAGGAACCACAACCCTCAGTTTCCTAGTTTCTGGTCATGGCACATGCTCCCTGTCCCACCTCAACCAGTGCTTTCCCCACAAGCTTACTTAGCTGTTTCTCTTCCTGAAGGCCCAGCTCAATAACAATGATATGTGTGGGTGTAACCATCGTTTCTATAGAGACATTCATTGGAAGGCTATAAAAATAGAGTGTAAATTTTAATAAGATGTAATTAAACATGTCTCAGGCAAATATTTCCACATGTGTTACTTGGTGGGAGATGAGCCCAGAAGACTGACAGTGTGGCCAGATTCCCTGATGTGCCCCAGTCCACCACGCAAAGCAAAGCCTTGATCCCAGAAATAGGTTATGACCCTTCTTCTGCACCTCTCTCTGGTCCCTTTGCTTCCTAAGCCTCTGCTCAGAGCTGCTCTGCTTAACAACAGCTCTCACAAGCATGGGCACTATTTCATCAACCAATCACTGGAAATATGGAGTAGGGCTCCATGTAGATATCTGCAGAGTCCACTTGAAATGCCTTCTGAAGAGTAACCCTCAGCTTGCACTCTCTGGAAAGAGAAAGCCCATTCCTCTTCCCGTTATGCTGATAATGGTAGTAAATAGGTGCAGTATCAGATCACTTAGCCTAAGAGAAAATAATGTATAAATGAGCATCTCAGGTCTTTAACTGTCTTCCTGCTGAAAAGCTGAAGTTGTTTCCATTCAAAAGTCCCATCCAAACTCAGATCAAAATTATCCTTCTCTTGCTCTCGGGAGAGTTCCAAAAACACCTGAAATGGTCAATATAAAGCTCTAGTTATTTCTCTGACACCCGCTAGACACTGCAATGCAGCTTTATAGGAGATACAGCTCTGCAACACCTATGAGAGATACATGAAGTAGCTTTAGGAGGTGGGGAGCACGGATACAGTGGCTGAGACTCCTGTGCTTTCTGGTTTACCCTGACAAGAGCTGCAACAGCAGACTGCCTACAGGTAGGTTTTACCCATCAGTGGATTGACACAAGTGTCCCTCAACTTTGCCACAAGCCTTGTACAAGTAGCATTAATCTGCTGGTTCAGGAGCAACCAGAGAGGCTAGGCACTGGCATTTTGTCTAGGACTTCCATTCCTTTGGGCAGCGGTGCAACTGTGCACTCATATTGGGTGAGTGGAGCCAGGCAGCAAACCTAGGTTCGTCTCCACCATGCTACTTCCTAGCATGTGAAATGTTGCACTGGAAGAATAATAAAAACAGCAACAAAACCATTTTTCACCCTTAACCCACCCCCACAACAATCCTCCCTCTGACACACCCCATGAGTGTGCAGAACAGAGCCATCACCCTACTACCCCAGGCAGTTTCTCTGAGGAGCATCGTCCTGTGGCAGCGCTAGCTCTGGCCACTCTGCAGCTTTCGATCCTGCCTGTCCTTTACAACCCCTCTAGCTTTGAAATCACGTGCCTGAGCCAAAGTGTTCAAAGAGAAGCTGTACTCCTCGAGGTTGAAGGTGCTTTTGGCTGTGGAGAAATAAAAAGGAGAGTTGAAATTTACCACATTGTGTTCCTCCTTTTTAAAAAGTCACTGTGTTTTGCTCTTACCTTTCTCTAGCTTGCAGAAAGACTGAGACAGGGGCAATGCATCTTCCATTGGGACTTTGTAGACTAGCAAAGACGGAAACCTGGAAGAAAAAGAAGAAAAGGTTACACTCCTGTACTGTATTTGGCCACTAAACTCAGCACATTTTCAGGGAGGAGGCAGTTTTGCAGCCACCATTCATCCCATGTTTTATAGTTACCGCTCCTGACGGGCTGCGCTTGGGAAAATCCTCAAAATCTCAGCATGCAGAAGATCAGTGTGCTCTGGGTCCTTGACCTTAATTTCCAGTAGGTAACCTTTGCCAAACTTGTTCTTCAGGTACTGAATGGAGCCAATGCACCTGCAGAGGAGGGAGGAAGCACAGTGAGTGGACAGAGATGTCAGTGTAGAGGTACAGTGAGTCCTTTGGTGCTCAATCATCTGGTCATTCCCAAAGGACATTGTACTGCTCCTCTCACTATTGCAACTAAGGGGAGCATTTCATGAAGTCCACCGTGATGGACTCAAGTCAGGGAGGCCAGAGCAGCACCCCTGGACCCCTGGTCCATGTGGTCCATGGACCACAGAGGCAGATGTGCTTCCTAGCTTGGGCAAGAAGGGTGAGAAGCTGCACATGCTGGCCTGTGCTGCAGCCCACCGTAGCTGCCCGGACACCATGATGGCCACCCGGTCGCACACCGCCTCTGCCTCCTCCATGTAATGTGTTGTCAGAATGGCTCCTTGCTCCTTGTTTTTCAGTGCGGCACGAATCATTTTCCTGAGGACACAGAGGGGGGGGGAAAAAGCCAACACTTCGTAAGAATACCAAATGCTTCTTATTATACCTTTGCTGCTCTACATGCCTCTTCTCCTAGAATAAGTATAAAAAGTTAAAATACCTTTAGACTGATGTGTGCATGACAACACTCTGAAAAAATGACAGAAATTTTTAATCTTGACTCAAACCTTTTCATGGATTCTTCTGAAATCCATGTCTAACTGTCATGAAACTAAATTGGCTACCAGGCTGAATTCACAAGAGGGTTTTCCCTTCTCTTTGCATAGACTTTAAGCTAGGGAGAATCAGGAAAGCAGAGTTTCCAGCAAAGCTGTTGGCAAGCGGCCGGCAGCATTTACCACAGACTGGGTAAACCTCTCTCCACCTATCTTTGGGCACCTGCTCTTGGCTTCCAGCCCCTTTACCCTGCAGCGTGGTGCCCGACACTACTCACCAGATGCGGCGCTGCCCGTTGGGGTCCATGCCGGTCGATACCTCGTCCAGGAGCAGGACTGTGGGATTACCCAGCATACACACTGCAAAGCATAGCTACAACAGGGAGAGATTTTTGAGCCACATCTTCCGTGGTGCCTGGCACTGTGTGTGTGCAAGCACCTCTGGGCAGCATTTAACTCGCTTGCTCTATGAGAACCAGGGTTCTGATTTATAGGAAATGTGGACTTGGAAAACACTAGCTTGCATCACCTTCTACTGTGTTTCCTTTATTTCCTGACACACAAGCTGTGGCAGTTTGAAACCAAACCATGCAGGTCAACCTTGTCATCCACACCTCCATAAATTGAGGTAACTCTACCTTTCACAACAATTGTAATTTAAAGAAATTAAGTAATTTGACAAACGCTCTATGGAAGAACCCCTGACATAGGGACATAATTGTCTCCAACCTGACACGGCACAGACATACGTCAAAGCCCTCTGTCCTCATGCAGGTGGGAACATGAGGCTCTCCCAGGTAACTCGGAGCACAGGTAAGTCCACTGCTCACTGAGGGGGTTTTTCATTCCGCTATGAACACTGCAGAACTCACTACAGGAAAAACAAAACGCACCTTTCTGGTTATCCCAACAGATAATTTTCTGGTTGGTTTTTTTAAATATTCCTGAAGCTCCAGAGCATTCACTAATCTGTGGGGAAAGGAAAGAGAAGAAAAAAATATGAACACTTGTTATTCCCGGTTCAGCTCCCTCATCTGAAATTCCCGAAACAGTAAGAAAAAGGAACTTTCCCCTGCTCCGGCTTATTTCCATTAAATCTTTAAATTTGTTATTTTGTTAATTGTTTGTAAAACATAGATGAATATTTGAAGCAGTGTACTGAATAGGTGACAATCTCTTTTCTAAAAATAATCATTAATAACATTATAAAGCCATTCTACCTTGCCTGCGTTAGCTGAGCAGGCAGTACTTAAGCTCCCTTCTTGTAGGGCTAAACTATAAAGTCAGAGGTTTTAGAAATCCTTCTCACAGGTAAAATACTTAAAAGGATATTGGAGGTAAATTTATCCTCGCTAAATGTACACAGGTGAATGGAAGATTTTCCTTGACCCACTTAATCAAGGCATTTAGCACTAAAGCATTTTGGCAGCATAATTTCCTGAGTTTCTTCAAAACATTGCTTCCGGCCCCCCAGTGAAATTTGGTGTTCTGGTTCCCTCCCCATGCCCTCAGACTGGGGGAATAAAACATTCACAGATAGCTGGAACCACCTTCCCTCCGTACCGGTTGATAGCGGCAGCCGTATCCCCCTTTCTCACCCCTTTCACAGCAGCATAGGTCTCCAGGTGGTCTTGCACCGTGAGGTTTGGCCAGAGCGGGTCCTCCTGAGGGCAGTACCCCAGGAAATCTGATGCGTTGTCCTGAAGGTGGGAGCTTGCTCCATCTCTCCTCCTCATCAGCACCTGCACAACCAGGCTGTTTGCTTTGCTCTCATATAGCCTTTCCCACATACAAGTCTAAGGTTCAAAGTAAGCCTATGGGCCTCAGTATGATTTAGGAAAGGAAACCCAAAGGGCAAGAGATTGATTTTGCAACCCTCACTCACATAAACATGAACAAGATAAATTAGGGGAGATGGATTTAGCTAGGCTACTCAGGGTAAATCAGCCTCCAAAGATGCCTATTTCTCTCCACTGACTGTAGATGTTAGGCTTTGATTTATAATTTAGTCCGTCTTTTAGCTGGCTAACCTTAGTTGAGGTTTAAATGGGTATATAGAAGAATTACAAGTCCATCACCTTCATTCAGGAAATTGCAGATGCGTCACTCTGGTTTATTTCTACTTTTTGGGCTAAAGACCGTGATGTGTGGAATGAGCTTATGCTTTTTCTAGTTGCTCTATTCTATTACTGCTTGTCAAAGTCAGAAGTAATTCACAGTAATTTGCAGCAAAAATTTTAACAGAATAATGCATTCGGCTAAAACCTCAATCCCTAACGTTGCTTGGACTGAAAATTATTGCTTAGCCTAGATGCAAGCTTTGCACTTGCACTTCTATTGCAAGTCTATCCCTTCTCTCCAGCCTACAGGTGCCTCCTACCTGCCCAGCAGTCAGTGTCGTCTGTCCAGTAATCATTTTGATAGCTGTGCTTTTACCAGCTCCGTTGGGCCCCAGAAGTCCTAACACTTCCCCTGAAATCAATATGCACCATTTCTTAGTAAGACTTACCATTCAATAAATATATCGGGTGCAATCACCAAAAAAAGAGCATGCTCATATCAAAGATCTTGTAAAATTAAACAGCAGTGTAAGGACCATGCTGAGTGTCCCTAAATTACTTCTCAACTCTCTATAACTGATCCAGTGAAATGAATCTGAGCACTGATCTAGGTCACTCAAAAGCCACTGCTGAAGTGACCTGTATAGAGGTCACTTAATTTTAAATAACGTAGAGGCAAAGGTAACAAATATGAGGTATTCCCACTGTTCACTAACGCATCAGCCACAGGCCAGACATGCCTTAACCATGAAGCAAGGAGATTTGACCTTGTTTGATAGCTGAGACTCTCCAGAGAATTAACTGTATCGATATGATCGCGGTCTTTAAACTAGTTGCAGTAGAACGGTACCAGTTCTCACCTTTTTTAACACAGAAGGAGACATTTTTGGTTGCCATTTTCTTCTTCTTCTTAAAAACAGAACCAGCTTTCTTTATTTTGTATTCCTTGCACAGATTGCTGACAATAACAACTGATTTCTGAAAATGAGCAGGAAGAAGAAAGAATAGTGTAATATAGTGGATACCATTAAGACTTCAGTAATATTTTTCCCTTAAAAAAGGGAAAAATCTTTCTTCTAAAGATCTTTGAATTAATTTTATAGTTCTCTGAGAATATGAGGTGCAACAGGGCACTTAACTGTCCATGTTCCTCTTAAAAGCTTTCTTCTCGAGTCTGATGGGATCCACTCGGTCCATTTGGGAGTTCGCTTTTCCCAGTGAGACTAATACAGCCAGAGCACTGACTTGTCTTATTGATAACTTAATATATTTTTGCCAGTCGGCTTCTTACTAATGTAAAATAGAGAGAAGGACAACAGTTAGTTTTACCTCCTCTTGACTTGGAGATGCTATGGCATTTCTCACTGCTGTTCTTTCGGCTTTAACATCTTCATCTTCTTCTTCTAGCTCCTCAGAGTTCTGGTGGCTGGTGTCTTTTCTTGGGGAAATCCTGCAAATGCAACAGGTCCATCTTAGCATTTTATTCTTTACCTTAGTTGTCCATCGATGTATTTTGGATAGACCAGGACTGAATGTCTTTCTGGTTCAGTGTTTCTTGTGTTTTCTATTGTTTATTGTGGGGCTCTCTGTATTATACAGAGAAGCAGGTTGGTATGTCAACACAACGCAGGCAACACCAAGTGGAGACACTAACAAGCTTGAAAGCCATTTAGTATTATCATAACACTGTAGTATTTTTAAGGGACTATTTCAGTTATAAAAAAAAAAAAATCAGCAGTATTAAAAAAATAGGGACAAAGGCAACAATTTTTGATTAAAATGTTGTCTTCAAGGAAAAGCAGTGCAGTAGGAATTTATATCTCACATGTGACTATGGTGCATGTGCATTTATACAAACCTAAATATTGGGTCCTTTCTCAGAACTGCTCTTCCATATTTTATCTCCAAATATCGAAGTAGAAAAATGAAACCCACAGAATGGATGTAAGGCTGAAAAAAAGAGGTTGCCACATTAACGGCCTTGCCTTCCACCCTGCTATGGCTGAAGCTGAAAAGATGGTGGCAATGTTATAAAAATATATGGGGAAAAGCACAATATGCGAAAATAAAGTTCATTAACATCTAGACTCTCAAGGTAAATCTTGAAGGCTGTAAACTCTCCTAACAACTATTAATATTGCAGAAAATATCACTGGTAAAAAGAGAAGCACAATTCATAAAATAATAGGACAGCTTTAAGGTGTAATCTGGGCTTATTTTGCCTTCCCTTCCCCATTTCAAAACAACAGAATTATTTTTGCACACGTGGGTAATCTGTCATCCCGATCCACCAAGATCCTCTTTCCATGTGAAATGAGCTCAGTGTTCTTGCCTCCCTTCCTCACAACTGAAGACATGGCAGCAGTTAGTGGTCTATGGACGGATGAGCCGTGATTTGGGATTGAGCCCGCCCTGAAGCTGTCAGGAGACACTCTGTCCCAGTGCAGCTGCTGATCCAACGTGAAACTTCTGTCACGTTAAGCATAGAGGAACTGTACATGTGTTTACATTCAGCATCTTTTAGGAGATGAACATTCCTCAATAAAGATAATCTTAAATATTTTCTTACTGCAAAGACAGCTATTAGTACACCATTCCTTGAAGTCTCATCAATTATTTCAGAGTCTTCTATAAAAATCTGTAAGAATAAAAAGAATACACAGTGAAGACCTGCAATTCTTTAGTATAACGCTGGCTAATGTTGGAATAGTTAAGTACAAAGAGCAAATATTTCAGAAATATACAAAAGCTTCCAATTTACTCAAAATGTTCAAAACACAGATGAACAAATTCCAGAAAATATCACAGTGCTAAGTACAAGCATCAGCCTCACCTTTTTAGGAATACTGGCCTATCTCAGGAAAATATCTGCTCTCCTCTCCTTTGGGGTCCCAGTGGAGAAGAGGTGAGAGGAAAACAAAAAAGGAGAGTCTCCTATTTGAACTTAAACTCTTAAGTCATATATAGTACAGAAAGATATAGTCTTGCATGTAGCTGGAGGGTTTTGCTAAATTAATAGCTGCCTTTCCAGTACCACCTCTCAGCTAAAATTGAGTAAAGCATCTCGTGCGTATTCTTAATTCCCACTCTGTTTCTATGCAAGGTCAGACATATAAGCTCAAATTTTATCTTATGATTGTTCAAGGCAAGATATTTGACTTTGCATGGAAAGAATTAAGAGTGCTTACCTAATCTACAGTCATGGCTCAACTGCAAGAGAAGTAGCCCCTAGCAACAGTGAACAGCTGGAGAAACTATATCTGTTCTGAAATGGTCACCTAATGAGGTACTCTGGTGACTTGAAAAGTCTCACCAATAAAAGAAAACTAATCACCCTTCCTAGAACACAGTTTGCAATTACCATCAGATTTTGCTCTTAAAAATCCATGCTTTTGTTTTATGTACAGATGCATCTCATAGCTCAGCACTGTAGCTTACCGACTCGCTGTTGACCACGAAGCCCAGCAGCGGGTGCATAGGAAACAAGAGAGACATAATATAAAGGGAAGTTCTAGGATCTGATGAATAATCCATGATTCTGCTGATAACAAAAGAAACCAAACCTACCTAAAAAGGAAACAAGAAGGCAATTTAGCTGATAGGATGGGGTTACACCTCTTCACTGCTGCTAAGAATTCCGTGCATCAGCATTTTTAGTTTTCTGTTGCATTTCTGACACCGGGCAACAAACACAGAGACAAGAAATGCTGAGGGCTCAGGAGCTCCTTAGTTGTCTCTGCCTGAGGGAAGGCTTTGGGTTGGCTGTGGGAACCCCTCCCCAGGCACAGGCCTGCTTAGGGTAGGAGGACGAGGTACATGATCCCCTCCTCTTCTTCCCCATGCTGGTTTATGCCAAGTATTCCACCTTTTTTGATATCAGGCTTAGTCTTTCTGTTTCTAACCCCATGACTTGCATCTCAAAGCTTATGTCACGCAGGTGTGAGGTGCTGAACAGAGCGATAACCTTACTGACTTCCAACCCTGCACCAGCTCAGTATGGGTCCAAGTGTTTCCCCTGCTCATGGCAGGTTAATCAGAAAAGGGGGAACTATGTGGATTGCCCTATAGCTCTTCCTGGGACTGGCTGCCATGTTCCTACTTCCAGAGCTAATCACTGCCCCATGCAAGGTGATCTCCTTAAATAAGCACTTACACCCCGGTTGCAACCTGGCTGAAGCTGCTTAAATAATTGACCAGAACAACAGAAATTCCCCATTGGTTTGGTTTTGAAACTTTACAATGAGCAAAACACTGGGCAGGAGGGAAAGAACTGCAGCATTTGTAATGAATGATCTAAACTGTGAAATAACTTCTCATTTCCAGACAGGTGAGTGCAAAGGTTCAGGGACTGACACTGAACAGAAAAAGGCGAGACTAGTTTGACATAGAATTGCCTGCTGTAAAATACATGTCCGTAGCTATGTCCTGGATGTAACGTTTGGTGTTTTGACTTCTTTGACTTCATCCTTAAGAGCTCAAAATATATTTTAGAAACCCTACAGGACATTATCTAGCCATATACTTACCACTATCAGGATAAAAGACCAAAAATCACAGTTCCATCCTTTGCGAAACAGGAAGGAGATTAAATAGATGAAGAGAACGATAGAAATTCCATAGCCAGAAATAGCCATAACCTATAGAGAAAGAGCTTTCATTAGAGCAAATGGAGTGCTGTAAAGAACTAGAAATCCATGCACATCAATGTGGTTCAGTTTACATACTCATACATTAAGATCAGGGCATTCAGAAATTACCGCAATTTTATTGCTAAGTGTAAAGGACTATAGTCCTTTCACTCTGTAGTGAATCAGTGACCACCAGAACTATATTTACCAGTGAAAAGAGGCTGCCGACGCTCCCAGAGATCTTGTTACTCATTAAGAACTGAAGCCCAAACATTGAGAAGAGAAGGAGCCAGCTCAGAGGGATGTCCACCAGTGCCTGGCCACACCAGTACGCCGAGGGTAAGAGCCCCGAAATCCGCAGCTGGGAGCGAGCTCCTGTCTAGGGATGCACACAGAAAAGCGCAGCTTGTTGCAGGCCCCCGGTTGGCCGGTTGCACCCTTGGAAACAACTCCATGAAATATAAACCACAGCTGTTTTTTTTGCCTGTCACCACCATAGTATTATTCATCTATTTGTGATAGAGCACAGTGACAGCGCCATGCCCTTGCCCCCAAAGACGACGTCTTGTTGTCCAGGCAGCCAGGCCCTGGGGCACTAATGCCTCCCCAGGACCAGCTCACCAGCCCACCTCTCCTCCAACCCTGGGGAAGCCTCACACCAGGAAACTAGGAAGTTTCCAGGAAACTTGGGAGCTTCAAACCAGGAAACTCCTGGAAACGGAGAGCGTTCACACTCTCCATGCCCACCATGCACGTTAGATAGGCAAGGAAAAACTAAACAAAAAAATCCCTGCCAAAGCAAGAAAATAGAGAAAAGAGACTGCCAAGATGACATCTATGTTTGGGAGGCTCTAAGACGCTACTTTATCTTTCTGCTTATCTGTAACACTCCTACGTATACTCACATTGTTTATTGTGCTAACTATGCCCTCAGGTTTGTTTTCTCTACGGTGACTTGTCCATTTTTATCTTACTCGGGTTAAATCCCAATCCTTTTAGTATTTTTGTTAATCTCTGCTGAATGCAAAGCTGCTTATGTCCAGCTAAAGCAAAATACCTCAAACAGCATGTCACCTTCAAATGGCCTAGCAACAATACAGTTGTAATCCCTTCTTCCCATCCAAAATCTGCTCCATTTCAAGGATTACCTTGTAATCTTGCAAGTAGCCCATTGCAAAGTGAGGAGGAAAACCAGGGAATAAAACCAGCATATAAATGAGGTAAAAAGAAAGGAAATAATCCCAGAATTGTGGATTATCTATCTGAAAAATAGAAGAACAAACCATTTGTAGAAAATAGCCACATCATAACGGATAGACACCACAGTTAACCTTACTGCGGTTGTCATGACATACAATACAGTACTAACACAAAATGGGATTTGATGCCAAATATTGGGGTGAGAGGTTTTCTTCTTAAAAGACTAAACCTAGCCCTACAAAGGGCTTGCCACTTGTGAGGAAAGATGGGTGGTGTAGGTCCCATTCCTGTCCTGGATTGTGATAAACTACATCTTCTATGGATCAATGGGCCACAGCTTGATGGTCGTGATGTAGAGAATAAAGGATCTCCTTCTCAGCCCTGGAGAAACTTCGTGATCTCCCTCTCTGCTTGGCAGCCCTCAAGACCCACAGGGGCAAATTAGCATCCCCTAGATGTTCTTGCTCACTTCCCTCTCTCCTCCAGAGAGGCTGCTGCTAGTCCCAGAGACTGCCCAAATTCAGATGTGGTGATGGTGCTGTGACGCTTTTGTTGGAAAAGGTGGAGGTCTATGAAAGTGGTAAAGAACTGTTAAGATGGAAGGTTATGGGGAATTATCTCATTTTAAAGGTTAGTCTATGCAGCCTCTTACTGATGGATCTGTACTCACAGCCTTCCGTGATGGATTGGTCACAGCCTACCAAAGATGCTATTATGCAGCTTCTGGTCCAGAGCTGGTTTCCATCCAGCTATTTGAGAGTACAGGCAGAAGCTTTGTAGTTGTGCAGGGGTGCATGTTAAATTTACCCTTGGGATCACTTCCAAAATGAAGAGTGCTTGTTCCATAGCCACCACTCACGAAGGTGGATCAGTGTGTATAAACAACCTCACATGGCTTCCTATTGAAATTTGATGACTTCTTGAAACGTTAAGCCATTTTAAGAACAGTTGTTTGACACAGTCTGGCTATCAGACTCTGACACTTACAGAGAAAAATGGATGATTCCAAATCCGAATACGCGCGGTGGAATTGAAAGTTCTCAGCAGAGCATTGCTAATGATGTTCACAAGCACTGGAAAACAGTTGATGGCCTCCACATGGCATAATACAGTAAACCTGTAGTTCTTCAAAGAGCAAGAAAACAAGATGAAAACCCAAGGCTTTTTTTTTTTTTTTTTTTAACTGCAGAGTAGCAGTAGAAACGGAGTACGCAGGGAAAATCCAGAGCTGAATTAATTTTGCCTATACCTCGGTTGCTAAAAAAACAAATTCAAAGTCTGTATAACTGCATTGCAAAAATAGTAAGGTTTGAGGTGGAGGAAGGGAGAGATGAGGCATCCGCTAGCACGTAGTCTACTAGTTAAAACACTTTCAAATCTTTGTACCTGTGAGTCTTTTTCAATAGGATCATCACACAGGTTCAACAGAATTGATAGTAGCGTCTTGCTTAATTATTTAATTGTTGGGAAGAAATGGGAGGAGGAGAACAAAAATCCTTACTTGGCCTTCTCGAGACACTGTTATAGCCCCGTTGTGTTTTAGTTCCTCTGTGATATTTTCTGCACTTATTTCCACTGTTAGATCTTGAATCTCTAGAGTGTGAATAAAGTCTTCAATGCCTGATCCTAGTGTGAAAGTCAAAAGTGGAGGAGTCATAATATTGAACTATTAACTATTAAATGAGACTTTGACTTTTTTTTGTTTGCTTTTTTTTGGAATCCATGATGACCAAACAAAAACAGAGAAAGTCTGATGACTATGGAAGTCAGACAGCACTTAAATAGTAGGCCATTGCGCTTTCTGTATAATGAATGGATTTTGGTCTTATTAACTGAAATTTTGCATTGCCATTTTTTTGCTGTCTTTCTCAATCTGCTGCAAAATGTTATTTCCTTGCTGATAGTCTGATGAAGCCAACAGTATCATACTCTGGCAAAATAATGTAGCATAACATGCCCACATGGGAACGTCCAACGTAAAACACTGGAAGTAGCCCATTCAGTTGACCCAGCATTAGTGGGCCTTTGTTGGTGTATAGTGCTTGCTTTGAGGTTCCCACAGTCCAGAAAAACAGAAATTGCTTGGATGGAGGTCTGGATTTGGGGCAGAGAATTAACTGGGGAACATCTTGGGCCCCCTTTAATCCTATTTGTTAGGATATCCCTTTTCAAGTCAGGATCTCATCAGCTGCTGAAGCAAATGGAGGCTTCATTCACAACCCCTTTAGACCGACAATTTCTGTGTCCTTCTCTCATTGAAACGTTCATCATCTCTTGTATTCTCTTTGTCCTACAACCATCTTCTCTTTCACTTATTTCTCTCGCGACAGTAAAAAACCCAAGAATAGCAAATAATGCTAATCAGCTCATTTGTTTCACACACCTGTTTTATTGAGGATGAGAAGGGTGGTAGTCTCTGAGTGAGCCTTCTTGCCAAGTGGAAGAAAATATCGTGCAGACGACAGCTCCCAGGCACTTACACTCTGCCATACAGCAACCAGGGCCATTTGCAAAACCACAGGAAGCAGAAAAACCACATAGAGCAGCAAACTACATTGAGAAAGAGATGAATAAACCTTTTGAAAACAGATATTCTGCAGCCAGCATTTGTGTATTGGCAGTAACATAATATGTTAGCTTATCCAACATCTTTGCTTTTAAAATATTTTAGCAATTGTATTTTCAGAAGTTCTAAAACCTTAATCATTCACAAGGGCCCTCAAAATTCAGTGGTAAGAGTGCCTCAGAGCTAAGCAAGTCATATTCCTAGAGCCATGAAATCCCCTTCAGACTTGCCTAAGACATAAGTCTTTTGTAAGTCAGCATTTCCCCTCCGTTTCTTGTGGCCCGCCAGGAAACGATGGCATGCCAGACTGAAAATCAATGTGACCAAATGAGTTCGGTCACTGACAAGATGAGAGAAGTTAAAAAAAGATTAAAGAGGAGGTTTGAAAGTAATATTTTTTCCTCCTCCTTCTTTATGCTCAAGTTTATTTTAAAATAATCCCCTCCCCCACCCAAAATAAAATTGTTCCTAAATGGCTCTTTTCTTCAGAGAGAAGATGGGGTTTCCCTTGCACATATCACTCCATATAGGAAAGAAAATGCACAAAATAAATCAGGTATCAAAACTGTTAAAAATCAAACCAGGGCTGAAAAATCAACGATGGGAGAGGTGTTTGTGTCTGAGGGAGATTTTATATTACTGGCTCTGGAAAGGAAGAAATTTTCCTGTCCTCTGAGTGTAGCAGATCACCAAGATCATTCACAGCTACGATTCCAAATGTTCATTGAAATGGGGGTGTGAAACCTGGCCTCCCTGCAGCAGCTGTGCTGCTCACAGCATGCTCTGCGACTTCAGACCTGCAGAAGAGAAGCGCTTTGGTACTTACATTGACCCGAGGCTTTTCAAGGAACTCTTAAGCTTTAAGAGGTGAACTCGTGCCATGGCATAGACCTGCTGCCTCCAGAGAGCCATGTCACTCACAGTTGCCTCTATGGTGTCTGAGAGCAGCAGGGCACCTTGCTCCAGCTCATCTGAGGACCTTGTTCCTGCCTCTGCCCACTCCTCACCAAAGGTGTGGTCATCTACAGAGAGTTTTCAATGTGCATGGTTACATTTGAGATCAGCTTTGACTTTGCAATATGTGAAAAAATAAGAGCGCCTTAAATAGTGAACTATTTGTGGCATGGCAGATGTTACTGTACAGTAGCCTTTCTCTTTGTCTGAGAAGCGTTTATTTTGGAGCCGTGATTGTACCTTCTTGATCAACTGTGATTTCTTCCTCCAGTTTCAGGAAAACATCCTCCAACGTTGTCATGCTAACTCCATAATTGATAAGTCCCCGGTCAGAGCAGCTGTCGAGATCACTGAACAGATCTGCATGACAGAAATAACGCAAGTGCCTTCAAGGTATTCAAACACAAGCACAGGTCCCTGGAGCAGACTCTGGTGAACCTGAAGTCAATCTGACTGAACCACCTCTCAGTCACAGGGAAAATGACAAAGCAATGAATGGACAGAATACAAAGGGTTAGGAAGGAACAGGAAACTGCCGTATTCATAATTCACTGAAGATTTTTTCCATTTAGCAACAGAGTTTCAGAATATGTGTTCTCTGATGCAACGGGGCTATGGGACTTTGAGCCTGAGTACGACAGTGCATCATGAGTTATGGTGAGTGAGGGTCTTCCCTGTGCAGCAGCAAGCACAGAGCAGCACAGGTGGCATAGGAAAGGCTGAGTACACTTTCTGGCTCCTTGCTGAGTAGAAAGAAATAAAATCACCCTTCAGATAACAACAATACACCAAGCTCTGAGGCTACTGAGTTTCCTCATCAAGGTTCACCATTACAAACTGAAGGCGAGCATTGTATATTTTGATCTGAAATGTTAGGAAGCTAAAATTGTGTGTGTGTTGGGGGCGGGGGGAGGAATGCAGCAGTTCTGTAAAGTCCTTATTTCTCTCTCGTAGAACTTCTTCCTCTCCATTTCTCTCTCCCTACATTTCTGATTAATTACCTTTTTTCATGGACAGTTCTCAAATATTTTAGTATACATTACCTGGGAATTTATTCACATTTTCCGGTGGAAGTTTATATCTCAGCTCGTATTGACTGTGTCCTGAGACTATGGCATTTGAGATGTATCGTTTAACGAGAGATGTCACATTCTCTAAGTCACAAGACTCGCTGACATGGATCCTGTTCAGTTTAAAAAAGCAGATGGTTAATTTCGAACAAAAACATTGTATTTGCTAGGATCTATTAAAGCAAAAGCTCAGCATACTTCATTCACCCCTAACTCTAGAGTAAAATACTGTTTCAATTAATTTTACGTCAGGAGAAAACGTCAATAGGGATTTCAGCTAAGGGCCTGTCTACCCAGGGTTATCTTGTACAACCACAACTGATGGTGACGGGCTTTCTGAAAAGTGAGCCTGTGTCATCCTCTGCGCTTCCTCCCTTTTTTCCGTGAGTGATCAGGAGCAGCAGTTGTGCTCTGTAGGACCTCTGGCCCTGAGGTAAGACCCTGGAGGTGCTGCTCAGTCCAGAGGGGTGCCCACTGAAGAGGCTGGAGCTTGCCAGTTGCTGCAGACCACCATCACAACGGGTAGGACAGGGAGCCATTCCCTCTCTGTTCTGCCTTGTAAGACATGGGTGCTGTCTTGACAATATCTGCTCTACTATTTTTCTTTTACAGTTATCCTGCTGGCCCCTTTCACACGCATGTTCCCAGATACCGGTTGCTACGGCTTACATAGATACCTTAAATGATAGCCAATCCCCCATTTTTTCTTCAAGAACAGAGAAGAACCAACACACTTTAGCCTCCCATGTGAGATAAAAGCTTTGCGATCTAAAGAAACAAAAAGCCAAGAAGTTTATACTGCAGAGCAGGGGTTCAAAACACTTTTGCAACGGAACCTCATGTGAGAAAATCAATATGTTCTGCACTTTTCTGGGGTCGATTCCCTTTCCCCCAGCCCACTGCCATGGCCTTTAGGCTTCTGTTAGCCACACGACAGATGGTGCAGTAAATATGGAAGCATCCATCTCCCAGCGTGCCATCTTCAAACTCATTTCCAGCTCGAGCACATGTCTGCTGGAGCTCAGTCATGTGAATTGAGAGTCTCATCAGGGATACACACAGGAAAACAGCAATTATCCTGGAGAGGTTAATTCACACAGTATGATTAGAGGAGAACAGATTTACAATGAACTTGGGTATAATGCGCGTCACCAGGGAAGCAGAATAAATGCCCTGCATTGCTGAGGAGAGCTTTTTACTCCCCTAGCAAGGCTAAGTCTTGCTGTCCTTGTTGACCTGGAGTTTCTGTTGAAGGCAAAGATAGCAGCTGCCTGGTGCTATCACTATCAGTGGAAACATCGCCACGCATTTAACAGGACCAGGACTTCATCCCAGGTAGTTTGGCCTGGGGAAGGACTTTATACTATAGGCTTACTCTGAAGAGAAGCTCCTGGTCGAGCTCGTGCTTACCTGCGAGGATGTCGGCCTCGTCCATGAACTGGGTGCTGAACAGAATCACTCGCCCAGTTCTGTGCTCCTTGAGGAGGCTCCACACCTGATGCCTGGAAAGGGGATCCAACCCAGCTGTCGGCTCATCCAGTAACAAAACCTACAAAAGGGAGAAATGCCCATTTGAAATCAGCCAGGAGTTGCCAGGGGTTATCGCATGTGTTGTGGTTTTCGGTATCCTCCTGAAAACCTCAGGTCTTGGAGTCAAGAAAGGCCATCTTTTACGCAAAGACAACCATTCTTGGACCTGTACAGTGGTCAGGGAAGTATCTATATTAACACTAGACCAATAAAATCAAGTTTATGAATTTACCATCTCTGAGGTATAACCATAAGCACTTTAAAAGGTACTGAAATCTCAGGTGAGCTTGTAGCTAAGCACGTGCATAAGATTTCAGTTAGATTTGACCCACCCTTCCAAATATTACACAGCTGCATCTGCTGCTTTACCTGGGGGTTTCCAAGCATGGCTATTCCAATGGATAACTTTCGTTTTTGTCCATCACTCAGTTTCTCAGCTTGAGTGTCTTGAATGTTGCTGATATCCAGCAAATCCAAAATGTTTTGCACCTAGCAAAGTACAAGAAAGTCCATTTTCAGCACCAATATTCCTTTGATCCTTTTCTATCCATGAATGACATCTGACTGTGCCTGAAGGTGAAATTTCTGTGTATGGTTACTGAGGGCACGCTCCTACACACACTGACCCCGCTGCTGGCAAGAGTGGCCACAGCAGGGCCTGGTACATCCCCCTCATCTCCTTGGGATGAGCAGAGCAGTCACCTTGGTAGCATCAAGCCACCAAACTTGCCCACCCTGGCATGCATTCTGGTTAAAGCTGGATGTTTGCTTTTATTTTTGGAAGAAACTGCCTGCTACACCTTTTACATTTCCCAATGCAAAACAAGCCTTCACTGAAACATGGGATTTGCCTACAGTCTAACACTTTTATCAGAGCTCTCTGCAATGATGTTCTTCGGGGCAACACGCACACTCACCTCACGCTCTACCTCTTTGGACTTGATGCCCTTGATTTCAGCAAAAGTCCGTAAATTTTCTTTCACTGTTAGAACCTCAAACTGGACGTTGAATTGTGGACAAATGCCAATCATCTCTCTAATTTCTTCCCTGTCTCCCATTTCAGAGAGGTTGTAGTTGTATACGGTTGCAGAACCTGCTTACAGGAATGAAACAAAGAAGTGGAATGAACTGTTCTTTATCCGCAACTGTTCTTTATCTACATGGCTTTTAAATCAAGCTCACCCCTCCAGCATTTCGTCTCTTGACATCCTACCTTCAGAAGGCAAGGTAAGTCCGCTGAGCACATTTAACAGCGTTGTCTTTCCAGCCCCACTGTGACCCAGTAAGGCAGTGATTTGGCCCTCGTAAATATTTAAAAATAAACCTAGAATAAAAACATTAGGTTTGGGGAAAAAATGAGCTTTTACTTGCTTCTGCTCATTGTCACAGGCACCAGCAAGGCAAGTCAAGAAATATAAAAACTAAGTAGAAGTGATCAGTCAGAAGTGCATTAAGCAAACTGAGGGGTGAGGTTTTGCAAACCTAGAGCTAAATTCATAAGAAATTGCTCTGTATTTAGCAGAGAAGACAGAAATACAGTAACTGAAAAAAATTTTCTTCTCTTTACTCCCAATAAAAATAGAAAGTCAGGCACTAAAACCTGAACAAAATAGCAATCAGTTGCATCAGCTAATATTTTAGATAAATTTTCAAGCAATACAGGTATTGCTGTTTTACTTTGAAATGTTTGCACAACTCTTTCTTCGTCTTTAACAGGAATCAATATCACAGCTTTCATACCTCTTAAGGCTTCTGTTTTCTTGTCTGTCTGTTTATAAATTTTTTTAATATTGTTGAGTCTAAAAGGAAGGTAAGAAAAATATTACTTCAGGATTCCCATTAATACATTTCCCTGGTACGCTCTATTTGTACATGGATCTCAATTCCCAGTACCTTATGTCTTTTCATGTCATTCCTGCCATTTTAAATCAACATTGAGATTTCAGCAGGGTTTTGCACAAACACAAACGTGTACACAAATGGGAATATCAATATCTGGCATGCAACAACAGAGTATCAAGCCTTTCATGGACAAGGTCGAGCCCAGTGCAACAGATGGGCCTTTTGCTGCCCTCCAGCTTCTCCCTGTTGTCACTAATGAGCCTTCAACAAAGTCCACAGCAAAAAAAGCAGTGAATGGTCTATCTGAATTTCCCCACTCGTGACTGGCCTGAATTACCTGTTTATCTCATCTGCATTTTAACTCTATTTTTTCTCCATGAAATGTTTCTCAGAAACATCATCAGCATGAAAACTGCCTGGATAAAGTGAAACAGAACTGATGGCAGAAGGAGGGGTGTTAGTGGGAGCATTGGACCTGAGCTACCGAACTCAAACAGCGCAGATAGATAGCAATTTCTTCTCTCTCAACCTGATGGCCTCCTTCCCCGTGAATTCGGGGGGCACTGGCTCCATGTCATCACTGAGTAGCTTCTCGGGGCTTGCTTCAGCCTGAGACCTCTCTCTGGTGGAGCCTCTCCTGCTCTTCATCCAGTATGAGGGCTTCAGGCAGAAAAAAGGGGGATCTGGGATGCCATATTTGCCTAATAGGAAAGCAAAGAAAATGACTTGTGATCAACCAAAAGCATAATCAAAGCATTGCTTTAGAGTAAGCACTTAGGAGGGTCTGAAAAAATACTTGGCTGCCTAAATATTGTTACTTTATATTGCTAAAAAGAGTTGGGGAAGTTTTCATTAGTGTGCATGGGATCTGGGCCAAGAAGGGTGGGTTCAGGGCTATTCCTAATGAATTCTATCTTTCCTTTAATGAATTAAAATATTATCCAGTACATTATAACACTATTTTCACATAAATAATTCTACAGCAATATAATTTTTAGAAAAACACAACTAAATGCTTTACTGCCTTTGATTTGGGAAGTACCAGCCTAAGCCAGGAGTAGGAAAGTCATTCAGCAATGTAATACATTTTTTAGAGACCAAAGCCTATACCAACTGACACAAACAGTAGAGTATCCTCTCATTTCCCTGAGGAGCTATTATACACACCAATATAAATCAAAACTATACAAGAAAAAAAGTGTAGTTTCAAGTATATGTCATACTTACCAGGTAGAACTTTATCAAAGTAGATCGCTAACAGCAGATACAAGGTAGAGTCAAAGATCAGCATAATGTAAGTTGAAAATAAAAAGTATGAGTCTTCCATAAGGTTAGAAAAACAGAAACCTATTCCATATTTTTCTAAATGGAAAATCTGAAATAAAGGACAAAGTAGAAGAGTTTTCAGGCTGGAAAACCATGCGCTTATCATCAAACCACGGGTGCAACTGAGTTGTTAACCCAGAAATCTTTCAGAAGTGCAGCACTGACTTTATTTCTAGTGAGAAAGACAAACAAATTTACTCCAGTCAGAGATCCTATGTATCCATTCAGAATTTTCCAGAATCAGAAGAAAAGATCAGAATTTTGTAGGATTTCACTTAAGAAATATGATAGCAGCACACTTAGAATCATGACAGCGTGTGTCATCTAATACAAAAACAATATAATTTAACATAGTGATTGATTTAACCATATGGCAAATTTGTAGTAAATTCAATTCCTTTTCTGGTGGTGCACAATACTCCCCTCTGACAGATTTCTATCAGGAAATCAAAAGATTAAATAACTGGCTCTCACTGGAGCCAGAAAGCGGCGTTTAGAGCTATCGGGATGTGACTGGTGGAAGACTGAGAAATGGAGCAGAATTACCCCAAGAGGGAGGAGGGAGAGCCACGGCAGAAAACACCAACAACGTCTGCACAGAGCTGCTGTTGCCTGGAGGAGAGTGACTGCAGCGGGGGCAGCGAAAGGGAATGACCGAGCAGCAAAGAGCTGGTGTCCCCGAGTCAACTCTGGCCTGGCCCAGGGTCCAGCCCCAGCAGATAATGGTGCTGTTGTGCCGTGGCCATGGGCTCTCTCCCTCCCAAGGGCTTCCTCTGGTTAACGGAGATATTACAGAAGTACACAACAGCACATTGCTTGTGACACGGACCATGACTTCCTTTGCATTCATCAACTACTTAAATTAGGGAACGCGCCTGAGAGTTTGGAGCCCCTTTGCTGCGCACCTGCAAATCAGCTCACACTGAGATTTCTGCCTGCTGAAGATCTTTTGAAAGGAGGGCTATGACTTTCTGTAACTTTCTCTACCACTGAAATGCAGTAGGATCTTTTATTGCCGTTATCTATGATAAAATGCACCCTGCCTTCACCCCAAAAAGGACCCAGCTATTGAGAAAGTTCAAACAGGGAGATAACGCTCCACACCTTTGCGATTCCAGCGTTAAACGCAAAAGGACAAAAGAGACTGAGAAACCACTTTAGAGGTTCGGGAACATTTTCTACCAGCACTGAGAGGCTTAAACATCCAAAGACAAATGTGAAGAGGAATCCCATGGAGCCAGTGAGCTTAGAACTCCTGAAGAGGGAGCAGAGCAGGAAAACGAAGTGGACCTGTAAGAAATGGGAGTTTTTCACCGGTCAGATGCATTTCCAAAGCTACTACCCTCAACCTGAGGCCTAGGACACGGCGGGGGTGCACCGCAGAATCACTGTGCTGAAGGGGCTATCCTCCTTCTGAAGTACCTCTGAGGCATATCAGCGCATACGTACAGGGCCGTTTCAACAACTGAAGGAAAACAAATATCCTCGACTTGTAGCGTTTCTACTTGCCAGGCACACAGATCTCTGCCGAGCTGTGTCCGTGCAATAAAATATACCAGAATAGTTCTCAGTTGGTAGATCTGACGTTTTGTTTGCAGCCAGTCTACTGCCTGTCAGATCTTCAGGCTGTAACTCAAATTGCTGCCAATTATGAGACACAACTGAGTCAGTTTTATTGGAACAACCAGGGAAAAACAAAGTTCTGAGCGCCGTGCAAATGGCTCCGGAGTAATGTTTAGGCGAATCAAAATATTCATGAATTATGTGGTGAGAAAGCTTGACTTTAAAATCCCAACTTACACATGCTAGGCCATACAGGAAAAACAGCAGTACGACTGCAGGGAAGCTGCTGAGGTTGAAAGCGTCTTGCATAGTGACAGCTGTCAGCAGGCAGGACATCACCAACACATAGACAGCATACAGCAAGCTCCAGGAGAGCCTGAAGATGGAAAGATGGTATTATAATTTTGTTTAATTAAAAATTGTTGCCTGAGAACTATTTAAAATTATAATATTAAGAATTTCCCAGGGTGAACTCATTCACATTCTACACAGAGTACTTGGCACGACCAACCTTAGGTGAAAACGCCCAAAGAGGAAGAACACCCCACGCTCCCCTGCTCAACCCTTATGGTTTGTCCTTAGTACTGGAGTGAACTTACAAACTCACTGAACTCTTGAACTCATTGGGCAAGTATCCAAGGGTACAGGGATTTTCAGTAAATAGGTACTTTGGTTATATTACTTAGTTTTACTGCTGAAGAACTCACCAAAATGCAATATCTTGTAATCCCATCATCTTCATCAGTACTTTGAGCTTCTTCTTTTCTCTTACAATATTCATTGACAAAAAATGCATGAATGAAGAGAAACACATCACTATCGTAATCATGAAATAACTGTACTCCAATGTAATTGAGGCGATGACGCTCCGGGATCTCATACGGACACCAGCAATTGATTTCATTTCTTTCCAGACGGAATGATTTACCACCCCCTAAAGGAATTCAAGGTAGAAATCTTAGTGTTTAATTTATTTTATATAGTGAGGTGCAGTTATATAATGAACCTTCTGATTCATCAGACCCAGAATTATTTTCAATGCAGGTCTATATAAAGCATAAATAAATATATCAATAAGCCCTATGAGAAGTGCTTGTCTGCCTCGCTCAGGCGTCTGCGCCTCAGCTAGACTCCCTTGCCGTCTCTTGAGAGAAGTAAATCCTTCATCTCATCCCGAGACAAGTATCCAAATGCACAAATGGCTCTCACTGCCTAAAACTTTGTTTCTCTCCATGGGTATGAAGAAAACAGTCTGGATGCCTGGATAGCTAGATGGAACGACCCCTATCCAGACACTTTTCTGAGGTACAATTTGGAAAAAAAGGGCAAGAAATGACAGACGGGCCTACTCTAAAGGAAAATCATCCAGCAGACATTCATACCACCCCAGCTGGATAAGGGCCCACTCTCCAGTAATAACTGCCTTTTTCTTGGAATCTGGGATAGTCTCTGAATCAAATAGCGGTATTACGTTTGGTTCACAGCCTTTAAGAGCAATTGTAAGTTTGAAGAGAAACACCAGTAAACACAAATCTTCCAAATGAAATTGAAAGCAGTCATTTTTTGCAGGGAACTTTGAGGTGGAGGAACTTCTGATTCCATCCAAGTTCCTGCTGTCGCTGCCAATAATATTCCAAAAGCCTCTCAGGCATCTGAATAATTTCAGATATTTGTTCTTCCACAGAATTTTCCAACATGCCAATCCCTTGCTATTGGTACAGAACGATTTGTCTTTTCTAGACCAAGTACAAAATAAAAGGAAACCCACTTCAGTTTATAAATTTGAGTTACCTCTATAATAGCAGCGTCGATACTGGACTGAAGGGACAGGAAACCTTTGTACCAATACTTTGGGCTGTGACAGTATTGTGATGAGAAATTATAGCAGGTATCTGCAAGGATGAAAGGTTGACATATATGGATTACTCCAACAAAGCTACACCTGTCCGTGCCAGGCAATCATATACTCATAAATATACATTTTGAATTACCTATGTATCCAAAGTTCTCATTTGGAATAATCACATTCCCGGCAGGAAATCTGATGTGATAGGAGAAGTTATCTTTAAACACAACCCCTATAATATTGTTATTTGAAATCCATGCTTTCTCCAGGGCGCTCTCATTTTCCACTGCCTCTAATTTTATACCTGTGGTTTATAAGAAAAACATTACAATGAGTTTCTGCAGGTCTGAAAATGTGGGCATAGGCACTGGGTATATAGTCTGCTTTTGCCAGCTTTGCCACTCTCCCTCTACAGTCGTTCTCACCCGATGAGGTGCGTTCACAGTACCTTTAGATAAATCATGCTTAACCAGTTGAGAAGAAGGATTCCTCTGAAGAATGAGCCAATATATGTTAACAGTATTATCTATACAGTGAATGTCTTGTAAGGCAGAGCTGCATTTCTCAGAAGCATAAGCTGAGACCCCTAGTCAATTAAATACTACTAAATACTGGAAGAAATATTTGTTAAAATGGGAGGTTTGGGATGAATTTTCTCTAATGACTGAAGGTACTTAAAACCCATGAAAACACAACACAGGTACAATAGGTTAAACAATGACAAATCTAAATGTTTAAAAGACAAAACATACCTATCATTACAGAATCCAAGGCCACCTTATTCATTATCTGCCTTGTGGTCACTGTTATGGGTGTATAAGCAACAGTAATCCCAGTAGCATTATAGACAGGATCATCGAGTTGTCCAAGATAAGTGTAAGGCACTTCTGGATGGCGGATATTTATTATGAAAATACCTACTATGAATATCAGAGGCAGAAAGAGTAGAGATAGGGTCCACTCCTAGGTAAGGGAAAAAACAGAGAAGGGAATTTAATAATTTAACAACATAATTCCACAGACAATGCGCTCTCTTAAGATATAGAGAAGAGGCACTGGGTCACCCTGGCTTCTTAGAGGTGGATTAACTAAGAAAGTCTTTGCACCACGCACATCACTTCAGTAAATTACCCTGCCCAAAAAGCCCATCAGTGCTTTCATTCATTACATAAATGACAAATACAATTTGTTATAAAAGCAAAAGTCCCACAAAGTCTTCATTACCAGCTAGGGTTTTTCAAACATAGATTTTTAACTTTACAGAAAGAAATTGAGGTTTAGAGAAAGACAGAGATTGGACGCCCTTCAGGGTTCAGCTTTTCACTCTTTTGTTTTCAATTTTTTAACTTACCTGAAAGCTCTGTGTTTTCATCCTCCATTTGGTAAGCACATTCTTCCATAAGAGAATTTTTGTTTGCTGCAATACACTCATATTTCTCCGAAGCCTCTTCATCTCTGAACCTACAATTAAAAAAAAAATTACTTTCAAATATAACACCAAGCAGAACTGCAGTGACTGCTTTATTTATGCCAGTGCATAATAATATATATTTATATATACACATACACACACGTGTGTGTGTGTGTGTGTGTGTGTGTGTGTGTGTGTTTTTTTAACCCATTTTCCTGCAAGAGAGAGAACTGGAGCAACTTAGACCACCCCGCATGGATCGATGGCCCAGTCCCGTGCGCTGAGCACCAGGCCAGCCCCTCAGCACAGCTTTCAGCAGCAAGGGACTGCCGTACCTGGAAAGGCTTGCACTGTCCTCAGCATACTCCTAATCCTTGCAGCTCAGCAGTAAGGCAACGATTACAACCAAAATTTCATGCTTTCTGCATGAAGGGGGCAGGAATACTCTTCCTAGGTTGCTTCCAGGGATCTTTTTGCCTTCTGATGTATCAGGGATATGACAGCTGCCACAATACCAACACCTACACTTGAAGGTGCTAAGGCTGGTGCTTAGCTGGCGTGGTTCCCGCTGCGGCTCTCAGGGGCTCTGCAGCGCACGCTGTACTTTGCCTCCTGAAATGCGGTGCAAAGAGCCCACGGAGTGGTCCGTTCTCGTACAGGGGCTGGCACCTCTCTTGCTTTCTGCCCATAGTACAGCTCTTTATTTTGGAGGGCTGAACTATCTGTTCCCACTCAAATCTTTAAACTGGGAGGAGGTGTTTATGAAACGTAATAGGAAGATCACACTACATGACTTAATTGGCTTGGGCTGCCTTAATGTCCAAGAAATGACAACTTTGTCATTTAAAACCAACAAAATCTTTTTGCATGTAATTCTGATCTGCTATAGGCTTCACACCAAGAAGTGTTGAGCAACTCCTGGATGTGGTACAGGCTGAGCTCATCCTCAAATCAGTGTCAAATGAAGACAGCTCAGAGTTATGAAAGAATAAACCCTTGGACACGCGCTCAGTGAACTGTCATTGTCAGGGATTTTCATGGGAGGAGACAGAGAAACAAATAGCCACGAGCGTGCCTTGCTGTATTAATCCAAAAGACTTGGCAGCATCTTTAAACATTTCTGGCCAAATCAAAATAACAATTTGTTGCCTGGATAATCATTGATGGTGGTACTGGGAGCTTAAAAAACCAGGCATAAAAAGGGGTGTTTGAGTAACTTCTGCAGCTGAAATATGCCAATATGAGCCGTTAGCAAAATAACCATGAGTAATTTAACGGGGTAAAAGGGCTTAATATCCAAACATAGAAGGGCTATGTTCATAGCCAGACTACTCTTCTATCACATACGGAGCTAAAACACACTTTCAAACGAAATAGTTTCCTGATGTTTTGTAATTATACTCCCAGGTAGAAATATTGGAGTATTTGTATACCCGATATACTTTGTACCATGTTATGTGTTCTCCTACTCCCTTTGGAAAAACATTATTTCCTGGTGCTGACTGGCATATTGGAGTTTATCTTCTTCCAAATATTTGTATCCATGTTTTTCTTCTCCGTTATTACTCTCCACTCTACCCCTAACCCGACCAATAACTACATTTTATCACAAATATAGGGGAGCGTGCAAAGGGGAGAAAAACAAGACCAAGCACACGCACGTGGGTTTCTTGGTCAAGGAAACGTATCACAAGCCAAATCATTTACTGCAAAGTTTCTTATTCCCGTCCCTCCGAGAGATGGAGGTCCGTCTCCCGGACATACAGGGAGGAGCTGCTGCTGTATCTGAGGGACTGCGAGAAAATGTTGCAGCAGTGAGTTACAGCGAATGAGAGAGCTCAAAGACATCAGGTGGAAGCAGATCTAGGACAGGAGACACTTTGCAGGTATATAGGACATACAGAATTTTAAATAAAACAACAGACTGAGCTTCCTCAGAAAAACACCCCCTGATTTCAGGACAGGAGATCAAGCCCACGTGGAGGGGCACCGGCTCTTTTACTCCTCTCAGAAAGTTGTAACTTCAGAGAAATTCTCCGACCACTCACATGGGGCTGGAGCAGCACCGCAAACCATGGTCTTACCCTGCCTGCTGCCCTAGCAGAGACAGCGGAGGCTGCGTCCCGCCCAGAGGAAAGAAACCTCGGCCGTAATTACACAGCAGACCTGAAACACTGGGAAAGCAGCTGCGACCAAGGGTCTCCACCGATGGGCACCCCGCAGCCTTACACGCGCATGTGCCTAATCTCGAAACGGGCACAACACAACTCGGCTATTTCACCATCGTGCTCCAAACGGACTTTTCTTTTGCAGATTATTTCACTATGTACAGATATATAAAAATAAGAATTAGGTTTATGGTAACGATCTACAGACTTCCCTGAGGAAACCGTGATGTTAAATTCTTAGTCGTTTTGTCACCTAGCAGAAGTAGGTTGTACAGTCAAACGTATCAGCGTTACGCATTTCCACAAATAAAACAGGATTTCCCTGCCGGGTAAGGTAGATTTCCAGCCTTTCTTTTATTTCGCTATTCGTGCAGAACGTCATCTTGACATGCTGACACACAGCTGGAGCTGCAGCTTCCCACCCAGCTATCCTGCGCGGGACGGCAAACCGAAGCGGGCAGGCACCGGGGCGCGACGTGGTCCCTCGCGGACCTCTCTGCCCTGCCACCAAAGCCGGCATTAGCCTGATCCACCCCGTCAAAGTTCAAACAGTCGCTGGAGAACTTGGCAAAACCGACATCATGTTTCTTTAAGTATTTCAGTGGGAATTTTTAGAAGTCTAAGATGGACTTAGCGTTTTAAAAACGCTGCGCTTAGTTCACTCGGAAAAAATACACTCTAATATACTGGATCGCTTCAAATACTGTAGAAGCTGAACTTTACCATATCCTCTTAAAGCCAAAGATGCAGAAATATATGGTCTGTCATAGACTGAAGTCTATTTCTGCATTATTTCATACCTAACTACGGTTAAAAAGACTCTGCCACCTTTGAACAGTCAATAACCTTAAACACAAGTTTAACTGAGCCTTTTGGTACAAAAGGCTCCGAGTGACCTACCTACACACTCATACTCTTTCACAGCATTACTCACGGTGTTATTAATTACCAGATGTTTTCTTCCCTTTTAAATAATTCTTTAATCCTAAAAAAAAGAAAAAAAAACCCAAAAAACTAACAGAAAGAGATGAAATTTTCAGTCTTACCTTAATGGGAAGCTTTGAAAAGCATCCAGAGTCCGTAGCTCGCAACGCGCCTGTAAAACACAAGCTGTCCCGCTCCCCCCCGACGGACTTGCCAGCGGTTACGACGCTGCGCAGGGCTCCTCTGATCGGACGCCTGTGTTTTCACGCCGGCAGTTCTGCCAAGAGGCATTCTGCACACCATCGCTTCGCTTTTCACTGCCTTTCCCTTCTTCTCCCCCCGGCTCCTCCTTCCTCCTTGGCAGATCTTCAGATTTATTTATATTCTAAAAAGGAAACAGAGCATATTGTTGTCAAGTCGCTGAAGCAGATTCTCTGAAAAGTTACTCAGAAAATTCTTGAGCCTGAGCCAAGAGAGGGGAAAAAAAAGAAAAATCCACCCTTCAACAAACCTTACAAAATCCTTTCTCTGGCAAACTCCGTTATGTTTCTCAGTGCAGCAGCAGAGATTTGAGTCAAAGGAAATATTATGGCACACCGCTCAAGGTGGAGGAGCAAACGCTGACCCTTGCTTATCTCCGGCCAGCCACGGTTCTGTTTGCAACCAACTGTTTCGGTGAAAGGAGCACCAGTGTGCCAGCACCAGTAACGCACTGCCACCTGGATGGAAATGCTCCTAAATGCTCTTTTCTTCTAAAGAGAAACCTCCTGCTTTTGCCCCTAGACTGGAGCCCTGGCTCTGGAGCATCCCTGCCGCTTCTCCGCACACCCCTCGCTTCCCAGCTGAGCGAGGCTTAAAAGTGCAGCGGTGGGAGGGAGCAGCAAGCAGCCTTGCTGGGACAGAGGCTGGGCTTGCAAATGCAGAGGGAGACGGATCTGCTTCGCTTTGCTCTGCGTAGAGAAAAAGACAAAAATAATAAGGTTTAAAAAACATGCAGATGTCTCAACTAGACCAAGACAGATTTCAGAGGCATAAGTCAAGACACAGGTCAAGACAAGAGCTGCCCCCGGTATATGTTTCCTAGGTGTACAAACCCTTCCTCCTCCTGTTCATCCCCCTCCTTGCAAAAGGAAAAAAGAAAAACACATTTTTGTTTTAAGCAGGGAAGTAGACATGCCAGGTCTTTGCCAATTAGTATCAAGCAAAGACACTTCTCTGCTCACATCTCCTTAAGAAAGGCACTTACTTTTGAAGATTCCTATGAAAAAACCCAGCGCTCTGGGTCTGTGGGGTGGCTTCTTTGGGAGCTTTCCCCAGCAGGAGCAGCCCATTGCTGAGCCACTGCAGCCACCTGCTGGTACCCGCTAGCCCGCTCTGCCTGCATGCAGATCTAATTTCCTTTCTTCTCTGCCTGTCCCCAGGGCAGGGACTGGAGACAGGCCAAGCTGGCCCAACAGCATCCGAAACACATAGTGATAGCTGCTTTTGGGGGACAAAACACAGCCCTGAGCACTTCCACTTGCCCACGAGCACCAGAAAGCACCACTCGTGACGGCGGCCAAAGGGAGGTTTCCCAGCACCGAGAAGGCTAAAGCTCTGGTTTCTGCACACCGTGAATGAGTGACTGTTTTCGAGGGACAGGTTGCTGGGGCACACAGGGAAATGGCCAGCTGCCCAAACAGAAGGACAGCTTACTATTTTGCTTCCTGTTTGCAAGTTTTGTCCTCCCGAGAGGAGCCCCTCCGGCTGTGTGCCTCCGCTGCCACGAGGAGCAGGGAGCAGCAGTGTTTTGGGCTCAGTGGTGACAGACCGATGGCCCCACATGCAGACCACAGGCAGGTGTACAGCATCAAAGTCTTTGAGCCCAGCATACAGAAGAAAAAAGAGAGAACAGTTTTGCATCCCCAAGGGATGAGCTACCATCTCTTCACCTCTAGCCACTCAATCCAAGATAAATAGCAGGAGTGCGCAGAAATGGTCAGGACCTAATGTCCTTTCTTCTCTGCCTGTCCCCAGGGCAGGGACTGGAGACAGGCCAAGCTGGCCCAACAGCATCCGAAACACATAGTGATAGCTGCTTTTGGGGGACAAAACACAGCCCTGAGCACTTCCACTTGCCCACGAGCACCAGAAAGCACCACTCGTGACGGCGGCCAAAGGGAGGTTTCCCAGCACCGAGAAGGCTAAAGCTCTGGTTTCTGCACACCGTGAATGAGTGACTGTTTAAGAGACATGCTCTCTGTTCACACATTATTGCCTCCGATCCCGCATGCGCAGCAGCAGCATCCGCACCGCCTCTCCACCAAGTAAGTCTGGTTTTTCAGTTCATTTTGGTGAGCTGACTTCTGAAGTAAAGTTCATTCTGGTAGGGTTATTCCTCAACAAAACAAATCTCCTAAGTCACTCTGAACAGGGGTACAGATGAACTGCAGGTATCAATTTGGCAGAGAATCAAGGCTTTATTTATTAAAACATATACATATTTTTTGGTGCAACAGAAAACTTGCAGAGCTGCATGTGTTGTGACACTGACAACCAGGTCCCAGGTCTGTATTAAATCACACATATTAATAATATTGATAAAACATATTGAAAGATTTCCTTTCTGGCTTAAAGGACTCTGGGATGAAGCGGTCTCCAATCCTGAGCTTCACTGGACGCTGCATCCTGGTCATGTTCTTCAGGGTCCTTGGTGAGCTCTACAAACATCTGCAATAGACAGCAACAGAAATGATCTAGGTATTTCCAAGCACCTGACAATACCAACACTGATCACACATTTTCTTTTTTTTCCTGAAATAAAAGTAACTTTTGAATTTGACTCTGCTTTTTCACTATGCCTCTTCAGCAGTAAAGTAACATCTCACTCTCAGGAGCGTCCCCGATATTTTCATTTATCCACTTAATTGCAATAGCTACTTCTTCTCCAAGAAAACTAATTTAAGCAATAACTCGGCAATCTTTTCCCTGCATTTCAAGCTCCACAACGATAACATATGCTTTATAAACAAAATGAAACTTTCCGCATGGTGAAAGCACAGTGCATTCCTACTTTCTTAACTCTGAGTACGCACACAGTGATAAGGGCTTTCCCGCTCCACTTGCAGCACTTAAGCCTGGCTATGTCACATTTTTGGGATATTTGTCTCTGACCTCTGGTAAGCAGGAAGCCCAGACTCCTAAAGTCACACCTGAAGTAGCCCAAAGTAGAGGGTGTGAACACACTTTCAAGCCCATTCTGCACTATGTAACTTTTGCATCACCTACCTGTTGCAAGGTGCGCAAAGACAAGCTGTACTCCTCAAGCCTGCTATTTTGCTTAGCTGTGGAGGGATGGAGAAGGAATTCTTAAAAACCAAATCCAAATGAGCAATTGTAAGCAGTCTTCATACTTAATTTATTGTTTCCTTTTACCTGCTTCTAGCTTGGAAAAAGCCTGGGACAGAGGTAGTGCATCTTCCACTGGTATCTTGTAGATCAGCAAAGAAGAAGAACTACCAAAAAAAGAAAAAAATTCATCATTTTGTGGCTGTGGTTTAGGGACTCTCTTATAGCTACTGTATTCACAGATAAATCACTGAGCAGAGTCATTAGGAGCAGGGCAGCGGCTCCACAGGGCGTCCGGCCAGCTGCCCAACCCCGCGCAGCCCCGCGGTGCAGAGACCTTTCCTGCCGAGCTGCCTCAGGGAAGAGCCGTAGAATTTCGGCATGGACAACATCGCTTTGCCCCGCATCCTTCATTTTGACTTCCAGGTAGTAACTTCTGCCAAACTTACTTTTCAGATCCTCAATTGAACCGATGTAGCTGTAGAGGAAGGAAGAAGAACAGTGCTCTAACCACGGTAAGTAGCAAATAAAGCAACCACTGGATGTAAGCAGCAGATACATTGCTCTTCAGCTCTTATTCTTCAGCTATTCACACTGTGCTGCTAAAACAACCTACCTTCTTATGAAGCTATGTTCATTACACACTTGGGGCAAACCAAACCAAAATGAACATTTTCTATTACATTAATAAGAGTAAATTAAAAAAATTGACTAGGACAGCGCCTGAGCTGGAGGTGATGCAGTGCATGATGCTATCCCAGTGCCCACCGTAGCTGCCCTGACACCAGGACGGCCACCCGGTCGCACATCGCCGCGGCCTTGTCCAGGTCGTCTGTGCTGAGAATGGCTCCCCTCTCCTTGCTTTTCAGTGCGGTCTGAATTGCTTTCCTGGAAACAAAGGGATTGCAGTTACTTTCCAGGAACAGTCACAGAAAACTTCCTGGTTTGTTTCTCCCCTCAAAAACCCACTGAAATGATAAAATAGTAAAAAGTGGATGACCATTTAGAGGACTTCAGTAGCAACGGAAATTGCCATTAACAAACAAAAGACCAACGCTTTCCTTACTTTGCTCTGAACAACTTCTATAACACTGAGTTTATAAGGAGAAAGCAGTTACTAAATACTTTTTGCACATTCTTGCTTAAAGATGACATGTGAACGCTAATGCTACATTGCAATTTGTCATGTCAGCATCCCTCCAAATTTTAGTTTCAGGTAAAACAGTTTTTGAAAAACAAGAGTAAATACTAGAGCTGAGTGGTCAACCATTATGGCAAGGAAGAACTACCTATAATTTTGTCTCAAGCTTTGAAGAAAAAGGGAGATTTTTCTTTTGTACCAAATGTATGGTTTCAGTTGGAGCCTACTCATATTTTTTTGACTTTGCTACCACTAATATCAAATCTGATGACTAGTAACGGCTTACTGCCTGCTGAGTAAGGGGTTTAGTAAGTGGCACCCTGTGCAACTGGGAAAAGGGAAAATACGGACATCCTCTTCCACTGAAGCAGAGGGTATTTGCGTGTCCAATGGTTACTACAATAACGAGGGTCAGAGCTATTCTGTTGCAGTTGTAAATCCATAACCTATTATACGCCTCTTTGTTCTGCTAAAATAGCACTACTCACCACATACGGCATTGCCCTTTCAGATCCATGCCCGCTGACGGCTCGTCCCAAAGCATGACTGTTGGGTCACCCAGAATGCTCAGCGCAAAACACAGCTAAAATGGGAAACACATCAAGGTAAGGTCTGTTTTACTTTGCCTGGGCAACCACTAGAACCAGGGACGTGTCCCTGTATATCTTAACTCCTGTAAATCTTTTAGGAGCCAAATCTCTTCATTCAAAAACAGAGAAGGAATAGAGTCAGAAACTGCCTCCAGGTGTTCTTAGTTAACATTTTAATCTTACAAAATCAGCTTCCCTCACACATCCAAGTCTGCCAAAGATTTGAAAGTCGTTTTCCATTCTATTTACTGGCAGATGTACGCTATGGGGCACAAAGAAGTGATAAAATCCAATCTGTGGTTACCATTTATCACACACAATGCCTTGAGAGGGAGGCATTGTGGGGAGGAGAGGAGAGTGGGGAGTCCTGCCAAACAGGATTCAGAAGATACTGATGAAAATAAATCAGGCTAGAAACGTACTTGCGGTGTGCGCGTCTGTCTTAGAAGAAACCAACTACCTTGTAAGGGGGCTATAATAGTGCACGGTCCGGGTCTCTTGTGGCACAGAAAGCAGTGAACAACTGGGGGACAGTGCGAGCCCAAGCAGATTTCACTCCTCCCTTGACTCTACCGATCTCTCATTAGCACGCCATGTTTCCAGAATGGGTTATACAAGACAGAATTTTAGGCTTTCTTCCAAGAATAAAATTTCTACTGCATGAAACAAAAAATAAAACTTCTCCAATGCCGAGGACCACATTCTGCTCTCACGGACATCAGTACAGGAGCCAAATAAGTCCATAAGCTTGAATGAAGTCTTTTTTAATCACATTCGAGAAAAAGAGCAGGGATTTGGTCAATTACAAAACACAAATCTAACATACCTTTCTAGCTTCTCCTGCAGACAACCTCCTAACTGCTGTTTTTAAATGCTTCTGGAGCTCCAGGGCCTCTGCTATGCTGTCAAAAGTGGAATGGAAAAGACAACTAAAACATACATCTCCATTTGCTAACAGTGTGGTCAGTGGTACTGAGGAAACCTGGAATCAAAGACTAACATACTTGCTTTGGCTGAAACACGTCACCTTGGGTTACTTGGGGATTATATTCCTAGTTCTATTGATAAATTAAGGAATTCTTGCAGAAACTCATGACATTAAGTATGGCTAATAGAGAAGGGGAGTTATTAATGTAAAAGCCCAAAACTGAAGCTTCTCTAGATAAACTAGGGTGAAAATCTTCATAAACAAGGGATTCAAAACACTGTAACATAGCAGATCTCATCTGAAGTCATGTTCCTCCAAGGTAAAGAGCCAAATTCATTGCAGGTGCTGTCTCTGATTCACACCAGCCAGATTTGTTAGTGAAACCACCTTTCCACGTCTCCCTGTCTTTTAACTCTGGAGAGATGAAAAGCTGAAAACTGAAATTATTTGGCCTCATACCAACTGATGTTAACAGCTGCATCTTCTTTCCTCATCCCTTTCACAGCAGCGTAGGTCTCCAGATGTTCTTGCACTGTGAGATCAGGCCAGAGCGGGTCCTCCTGAGGGCAGTACCCCATGAGCCAAGGGCCGTCCCACCCTGGAGAAGAGGCAGCTGCATTGCTGCCCTTGATCAGCACCTGCACAAACACACACCGTTGAAAGTGGTCTGTGGCATGAACAAACGAGCCCCTTGGAAACTCCGTAATGTTTTCTCCTGTATTGTAGCGTGAAACAATGCAGACCTCAAGCACGTGGAAAAGGAAGCCCAGCATTATCCAACTGATCATCTCCATCAGTCTTGACATCTGTTCATCTGAATCCAGGAGAGTGTTGTACAAAATCAAGCGTGCTTGTTACCACAAAACACAGGCTTTGGGTAACAGTATCAACATAAGAGTATTATCTCTCAATAATACCTTTTTAAATTTCAAATATTCAGTCCCAAATCTGTGATAGCAATGGTATTTCCCTCCAGCACATTTCATTTAATTATGTGCATGACGATTAATGATGGATTGTTACTGGCCCAGCCCTATTCACATTCATTTTCAATTTCCTGGCTTTGCAAGGCTTTATAAAAAGAGTGCTATTTTCTTAAACGTCAACATTTTTTTTTTTAGTGCTTGTGAAATTTCAAGATAGGCTTCAAATCCACGTTGAAAATTTTGCGTAGCTCAAACCTTTAAGACTATAACATTAGTTTTAATGAAAACTAGAATGTGCTTTGAGACCATCAACATTTTCATTTTATTCCTGTAACTATCCTAGACTGAGCAAATATAAATTCCCTGACTACAAGATCGCATTGCCGTTCTGCCTTTTCACATCCTTCATTTATAACCGCGTCAAGGTTATCCCTCAGCTGCTCCAAAGGAACCACTTACCTCCCCGGCAGTCAGTGTTATGTCTCCAGAAATCATATTTATAGTTGAGCTTTTTCCAGCTCCGTTGGGTCCTAACAGTCCTAATATTTCGCCTGCAACAAATACGCAGGAATTGTTAACGAGACTCTCTCCCCTCTGTGTCAGACAGCATCTAACGCTACAAAAGAAGAAAGGGGTATCCATTAACTTATCTCAGAAATTAACCCCAGGAATGTAAGAACCCAGGTGCAGAAGGTGCAGTGTGCATGAGGCCTCGTTATACATGAGCAAGTTCTAACAAAAACATGGTCTCCAAACATGACCGTCACCCTAGACAGTCATTTATAAGGGTTGCGGCAAAGCACTTGAACCTTTCTTAACGCTGAAAGAGAGATTTTTGACAGCAACTTTCTTTTTTTTCTTGAAAAAGGAGCTGGCTTTCTTGTCTTCATATTCCTTACGCACACTGTTGACAACGATAACTGGATCCTGTGTAGAAACAAAAAGGGAAATAAAAAACCCTCCTGCTATCATATGAGGCAGCTCACCTGTTCTTGCCATTACATACGACTCTTTAAAGAGGAAGATACTAAACTAAAAATCCATGAAACAGAACAACAGAAAAATGGAAAACAAAGAAACAGGTGAATAAAAATCTAGTTCCAGTCTTTCCTGCACTAAACTTCCTTGGCTGCCAGGGGCATTGTGGGCCCGACTGCAAGGTTAACACTTGGAAATCAGATGATCAATAAACAAAAGTGCACAAGCTAAGAAAGCAGAGACAGACCAGAAGATGGAGCACGAGAAAGGAAACAACCCAGAACGTTGTTTTTACCTCTTCCTGTGGCAGAGAAGCTATCATGCTCCTAACTCTCTCCCTTTCAGCTTGAACTTCTGCAGCTTCCTCTCCCGGATGGTCCCTGTTCTGGCGGGCAACCAATTTCTTGCGATGGATCCTGCGAGCAGAGGAGAGAGTATACACTGTGAATCACTTCCAAGAGTGATTTACAAGTTTATTCCCAAGGTAGTGCCAATACAGTACCCTGCATAATTTATTCAAATTAAGGGAGCCACTCCAGACAATATTTGCTCAAACATTTATTCCTGGAGGGCGCAAATCACAGTGATGCACAGGAGAAAATAAAGGACAGCATTAGCTTGTCTTTCATCAGTAAGTATTTACTACTCCTCTGCTCAACACATGCCAATGGTCTAGTCAAGAAACAAAATACATGACACAAGTTCTTAAAGCTATTTAGGCATCTAACTCCCAGGTGAGTCACATTTATTAATGCTTGACAATTACATACTTTAAAAAAAAACAGATGATCAGAGAGCAGTTAGCAAATAATCTTGGCCTGACAAAGCTTTAGGGAAACTGCCTGTCCTGCAGAGAACAATATTGAGGCATTTGAAAAGGATTTGATTTCAATTTATAATTATGAATTGAGCCAGCTACAGTGAAATGTCCTGAAATCATGACTGTGAATTAAAAAACCTAAAATAACATTTATTATTCTCTCTAGTACACTGAAATAAAACCGACTTTATATTGCAACATACTGGACTGGAATTTGCCTTCAGATACATTCAGGGAAGCTCCAGAAGTTAAGTCTGAAACTGTTAACGACCCAAAGGAATATAAAATTCTTCCTTTAGTTCTCAAAGGCAACACTCACCCCAGTAAATTGGTAAAAACTAAAATTTTGGCTTTATTCACACTTCACAAAATGTTTTTAAGCTCACTGTATGGCTAACTGGGACTCACACTCTTGCTCCTTTATTTCTGCTGTCAAAAAAAGGCAATGAAGGCATTGCCTCGCTCAGAGGACCTGAGCCCACCGAGTGCACCAACCCAACCTTGGCAACACACAGGCACTTCTCTGCTCGGCACAGACCTGAAGATGGGATCACTTTTCATAACTGCTCCTCCGTATCTCATCTCCAAACAGCGAAGGAGAAAAGCAAAAATCACACAGTGGATATAAGGCTAAAAAAACAATAATGAATTAGGTTTGACAAGTAACACCACATTTGATTAATATTAACTATAAAGGGATGCTGGGACCTATCTCATTTACTTCAGATATTGAAAAAGCAGTCATGTAGGTCTAAATTAAACCTCAGGGAAAGAAGTAAAATTGAAGCTTCACATACATTTCCATCTCATAGGCAGATCAGTTGCAAAAGCCTTGACTTTATACTGCAGTTTTAGCTCAAACAATCTGCTCTCTAAAGGACTCTTTCTGAGGTATCTTACAGGATCAGAGATCTCATCTTTCTTTTGAAGAAGCAGCATTACGCTCTTCATTCGTTAATAACAACTTTTCACATGTTGCCTAAAGCGTGGCTAGGTTCTGCCTTATACCTGAGCTACATTTAATCCCCTCATCATTTTTCCACATATGGTACAGCATTTTGTGGGCACATGAGAGACAAGCCCTTCACTCTTTGGATTTACCTCCTCTTTGTTCAATTCGAAACTTTTACCATATAAGCCCTGCTGTATTGATGGGAAAAGTTATGCGAACCCGGTGCAAGTCCGTCACACTAGAATAAGAACCTTTTACAAAATAGCCATCATCTAATTGCTCCTTACTGCAAAGACAGCTGTCAAGACGTTACTCCTTGTTTCAGAAGGACTGCCACCGTAGACCTCGTATAATTCCTACAGGAAAAAAATATCAGCCGATTAGAAAAACTCCTTAGCATAGCTCCACTTGTGCATGGTGAAAACAGACGTTCGGCACATAACATAAGAGAGGCCCCATGCAGTGCAATCAGTACGCTTAGCCCAGTATCTTGCTCCTGGCAGGGGCAAAAGGTAGTTGCCTGGGGAAAGGAGAGCGCGAAGGTGCTCAGCTCTGCTGCCTCCCATCCTGCCCCACATGCAGTGCAGTCCTACCAGGGGAGATAGCTGCAGCACCGCTCCAGCCCTGCGCCGTTTAAAACGCTACTGGTAGGCCACAGAGCAGGATCAAAGCAACTTCAGGAGGTAAGGAGATTTGGCTTTTCTTCCAGGATTAAGGAGGCTTGTTCTGTACCTGGTTTTTTTGGGCTTATACGCCCTCGGAGACCTATTGCTTCCACGGTTACAGCTAAAACTCAGGTGCCCCCAAGTCAGTCAAATTTGATTAATCTTTTCCATAAATACTTCTCTCTTCCTAGTGCTTTCATCTGCTTTGGTCAGTTCTCCCCACCACTCCAGTTCCTCCAGCCCCACTACCTTCCCCTTCCCATGGCAGTTTATCTGCCAAAGTACCTTATAGCAGCTTTTCATAATTAAACAAAAAATCCAAATCAAGCAAAATTCTAAAGGATGAACAATTTAAATTTTGGTCACTTCCCTTACTCCCCAGCCTGAGTGACTTATTTCCCTGCTGTCTTTTCTCACTCTTTTGTCTCTTGGACCATTGGCACTTTGGGACAAGGGATCTGGGAAGTCCTTCACTTCTGTGAGTAGCACACCTTTCTAGGTTGTGCCACAAAGAAGCCATATTCACTTTAGTAGAATATGTTTACTTACAGACAGAGACAAGATAAACCAGCCCAGCAATGGAAACATAGGAATCAAAGCAGAAAAGACTGAACAGGTTATTTCTTCTTGGTCATTAAGTGAACAGAAAAACAAGTTAATCTGAAATAAAGCAGAAAAGGTATTTCCAAAATTCATGAGCTGTTGCTAAAAACTAGTTTGTTATTAATTTTGGTTATTCTGCTGAGTACCAGTATGCTTGGAGTGAAACCTCAAGTGGCTAGATGTGTAAATCAAATATCGCAGAATGAAGATTCATTTCACTTACCAGAATAAGGATGAAAGACCAAACATAACGATTGCTCCGTCCCTTGCGAAATCTAAACGCAATTAAATAGATGAGCAGAACAAGAGATACTCCATAACCAGCAATGCAAACAATCTAGAGAAAGAGACTGATATTAGTGACAAGGAGACGGATGTGAACAAAGTAAAACCTGCCTACAGCTGTCCACTTCAAATAAAATATTGGACGCTTCTAGATCACAACGTACTTTGAACGGTAGCTCATTGCGAGGACAGCATAGTGATTCCCATCGCACAGAGAAATATCCTGAGACAATAGCTTAGAGGTATAGTCAAATGTGCTGAGTAACTGCAGCTGATGAAGACTGCACGCACTGAGATGGCAGATGAACAACAAATGACGATGACACTGGCACTGAGGAAACTCACAGTAAAACAAGAGAAGGGGATTTGTAGCTGACTGATTTCCAGCAAATAAAGTATTCGAGCTTACCAAAGAAAGAATCGTGCCGGTACTAAAGAGACTGATGCGACAGAACAAAAGCAGGATCCCAAACATGAGGCTGATGAGGGCCCAGAAGAGCGGGACGTCCACCAGCGCCTGCCCACACCAGTACGCCGAGGGGAAGAGCCCAGCGAGCCGCAGCTGGGCGCGAGCCTTGAGCTGCAAAGGGGAAAGGGAAGCACTTCAGCAGAGCTGTAACGTGAGGCCTCCACCTTAGCTGGTGAGGGTCTGGAAACAGCTCAAGGAAACAGAGAGATGAACAAATCCCAATCTTCCCTCCACCGCCTCACACAGAAGATTGAAACAAATCACCATGAAAATCTAAATCAATTTATCTTGTGGGGAGAAAGACTGGTGCTATTTCTGAGCACAAACACCCAGGAGGCTTCGAGATACCCAAGTCAGCTGCCAGTGGAAGCTGAGTGTCCAGAGGCAGGACTTCAGTGTTTAGAGCCCCAAGCTAACTCCAGAGGAAAAAAGGAGAACAAAAAAAATCCAGCCAATCAAAACCCAAAAGTCTTCCCAATTCCAAAATCTTTATTAATTGACAGCCAAATTGTTCCCAAATTGTTCTGGGCCCAAGCTAATTCTCTGAGAGGGAGGCCAATGAGCTTTGACACAACACTATGTTCATGGGGCTATATTTCTTCTAGGAACCCAGGCTAGTAACCCTGGTCAGCCCACTGCGTAGAGACACTGTTCGTACAGAGGCCTCCAGTACGGACAGCACTGTGTTGTAGACATCCATGCTGCATCTCTCCTGCACCTTCACAAAAAAGGAAAACATTCTCTTGGTTTTTTTCTCCCTAGGATTCTTGAATTACAGAGCAAAGTGATGAGATTAAAATCTATCCAGAGATATCACTTTCGCATTCATGTCTCCTTGCATAAGATCACTTTCAGTGCGTGCTTTTTACCTTGTAATCCTCCATGCTACTCACTGCAAAGTGAGAAGGCAAACCAGCAACTAAAATCAGCATGTAAGCGACAGAGATGGAAAAAACAACATACATTGTAGTTGGGTTTCGTACCTATGGAAAAGAAACTCATAATTCAGAAATCACCAATAATCAACAATTCCTCAGTGAAAATCTAGCTTAGCACAACCAATATTCCTCATAGCTGCATGTGCCACGTGGCACATAGGCAAAGTGCTATAGCACAATTAAATACACAGTGGAACAGTAGTATTTACGGTAAACCATTTGTATTTAAGAACACAAAACAAGGCAACAAACAGAAGCATTTAGCTTCTTAAAATTTTCAGGGAGAAATATTTTAATTACTGTAAGTCGCTGAGGATAGGGACCACCCTTCCTGATGCTGATGCTTGCCAAATGGAGATTAAAACAAGATCTCCTGGCATCGAAAACCTATAGAGCGCTTAAAAACAGTTAGGGAAAGGAATTCTCTTTAAATAGCCACTGTAATGACCACTGAGAAATGCCACCAGTAACTGACCAGCAGCTGGAAGTAATACTGCTGATCACAGCCCTTTGAGCTTGCTGGTCCAGACAGGCTTCCACACACCTTTGCAGTCCACCCATCCAGTCTTTATTGTTTCAATTTGGCTAGTAATTTCCAGTAAGAAAGGTAGGACACTTACATCATGAAAGGGGTCATTCCAGATGCGAATATGTGCTGTGGAATTGAAGAGCCCTAAAAGAGCATTGCTGAGGATATTCATGAGCACTGGAAAACAGTTGATGGGCTCCGCACTGCACATGATCGTGTATTGGTAGCGCTGAAGACATAAGATCAAAACACGTTACCTTCATGCCTATGAAAATTGGGAGGAGGAGCTAACTCTAGTGAGGATTTTGGGGAAAAACAATGATAAATGCAACCAGAATTTTTGGAACATTGAGAATATGGATACCTGGAAGCATGCTAACAGTAATCATTAGCAAAAAGATGGATAAAGATAACTATTTTTGGAGAGCAGCACAAAAAGCTTTTGTTAATGGTCTTCTCTAAAAACTGCTGTAAAAAAGCATATAGTGGAAAGGACATGTTTTCTTCCAAAAATAAAAAGCTTCCAAGGATTAAATCACTCCAGGGAGAGAAGTTTCAGTTTATTCTGGGAGGGTGGAGGACACCTTAAAGGAGTCTCACAGGCAGAGCAGGGAGCTAGTGCAGCTTGAACCCTCAGTCCTGCACGCCACCTGGGAGAGCTCAGAGCTCAGGGCAGCTGTGTTGCCTGCAGAGCCATGGAGCTGGGCATGGAAAGCATTCCCAATATCCCTGTTTTTCTTGCACGGAGAACAGCAGGACTCGGTACACCTTTGCAGAAGCTCAGGGGTGGGTTAATGGCAATGAACACAGGTGACAGTGTCACTCCTCTGAACACTGGGGAGCACCTGCCCCCAGCTCCTGCTGAGCCACGCAGACAGAGCTGGAACCCACACCAGGCACGTATTAACTAAATATAATCCCCTCTTCCCACAAACAGAATTACTGATAACATCTAATATGTCAAATAAGTATTTTCCCTTTTTCTGATCTTTGCATTTCACTGTGCCTCATTCAAACACATTTCAGAGAATCCTGTTGACATAGAGAATGAAAGAAGAAAAATCATCATTCACCTTGCCTTCCAGGGATATTTTTATAGCTCCATTATACAATGGCATACTTGTGATGTTTTTCTCAATAGCTATTTCTGGCACTATCTTCTGACTCTTCAAAGCATGAATGAAATCCTCAATTTCTGATCCTGAAATCAAGTCAAGCCAAGAGCAGAAATTAGAATAATTAGAAAAACTCATAAAGCAAAGGAGAAAGATGTTAAAAAAAATCACACAGAGTCTGAGTAAAGTTACATTTTCTTATCTTTTCAACTTTTATTGAACTAATTAAACACAATAAATGTTTGCATAGCTAATTACTGTTCCTTTTAACAATTTTACCTGGTTCATTATTCTTTTAAATTTCAGATATTCAGTTATCATCATCATAACTGGATTTGCTTTTACTCAAAAGAAAACACCTCCTAAAGCCACAAATGCATGAAGAAACACACAGAAAAAGTAAGATAGAGTTGGTTGTATCAATTCTAAGAAGACTTAGAGAGGTGCAGAAAAGAAATCAACATCACATATTCTTTCACCTGTGTCATTGAAGATAAGAAGATTCGTTGACTTAATATGAGTTTTCTCTTCACCAGGAAGAAAATACAAACCAGCAGTCAGTTCCCAGCTATTGAAGCTGTCCAGTAGTTGAAATTCAGTAAGAGAGATAAGCATAGGAAGGATAAATACTCCGAAGAACAGCAATCTAGAGAGAAAAAACAGACCATAGATGGCTCCAGAAGTACCCTGCCTTTCACATATCACAGCTATGTGATAAGTGCAGATGAAGGCAAGGGGAGATCTAAGAAGGGAGAACTTAAGTAATTCAGAGTTCTGACAAGAGGTTCTAACTGCCCTTGTTATTGTAATTTTTTTAAAACAATTTCCAACTAATTCTTAGTTTCAAAAAGATCTCCACCAGTTTTTGAGCCTTCCCTCAAGTCACTCCAGGGTATGTTCAGATACTTTCACAAGTATCAAGGCCACAGACTAAGCAAGAGCTCCCATACTTACAAGGACCTGAGTAATTTTCCTTCATGCTTTAGCTTTAAGAAGCGAACTCTTGCCATCGCACGAACTTGTTGTCTCCAGAGCTCCATGCCGCTTACTGTGGCTCTCCCTCTCTCCCAAAGCGCCAAAAGGCTTTGGTCCATCTCCTCAAGGTTAAAGCAGTCTCCATCTTCTGCGTGTTCATTACTAAAAACACCATCATCTACAAAGAGGTTTCAAAGGAAATGTTTTAAGCCCAATCAACGAAGATTTTCTGTTCTAAATCTAGGAACGCTCATTTTTAGCAAGAAAAGAAACAACAACAGATAAAAAGGGGGCTAATTTTCATGGAGCATAGTTTATATGGGTGAATTCAGACTGGCCTAACCTGGGCTCATATGGCTACATATGCAACATCTTAACCGGTCTTGTGAACTGCCCTCTGGCAAGTTTCTCTCTTCCTACCTCCTGGTCCGGGTAGTATAACTTTCAGGGTCATTATAACACTGTTTTTCAATTCTCATACTCAAAAGCCTGTGAAAATTGAGATTGAATCATCTAGACTTCTCTGGAAGGATATTTATTGCTAAAGAAAAAAATAAATGTTTATGTAACTGCTATTCTTACCCCACTGAAAATTATGAAAAGTTACATTTAACAGAAACTCAGTATGTATTCAGTAAAAAGTAAAAAAAGTAGAACCTTAAATCACATCAAACTTGCAAATTAGAGTCATTATTTTACCTTCTTGATCAACAGCTTCCTCACCCTCCAGCTTCAGGAAAACATCTTCCAGAGTTGTCCTGCTAACCTCATAATTAACAATCCCCTGCAAGAGTTTACTGTCGAGATGGCTGAACAGATCTGCACCACAGAAACAGCACAGTCAGATGCAACCCAGGCTCTGAGGATAGTATTGAGCAGAAAAGCAGACTGGCATGATTATCACTGTACTTTCTGGGCTTCACAACCGCTAATCCCCGTAATTTAAAAACCACAGCAAAATTATTGTGCTCTTTAAAGGTTAGACTGAAGAAGTACAAAATTCAGAGTTCTCAATTACCACAGGTCTTCCTGGCAAGAGAAATCTTGTCTTGAAACCACAGAGGGGTCATTAGAAGTGCAGGCTTTTAAGAGACGGTGGATTTTAATTTGTAAATTAGTTGGTAGATTTTCTTTTGTTAATCTGCAATATTATTAGTAGCATGTTCATTAGAGTTTTTTTTTTTTATTTTTTTTTTTAAGCTGATGTTTATGCAGTTCTGGGCTCCCTAATCATGTGTAGTACAGACAAGGGAACATAATCGTGCCCTTCTCAGCAACTTTGCTCTCTGGTTTTCCCACCGCTTAGTGTACCTTCATAACCTCAACACAACTACAGGCGTTTGTTACCTGGGAAGCTATCGGTGTTTTCTGCAGGTAGCATGTAACACAGTTCATCGTCCTTCTTTCCTCTGAACGTAGCATCAGGGATATACTGTTTGACCAGGGATGAGATGATGTCAGGGTCACACAGGTCATTTGTGTGCATCCTGTTTGTATTAAGATGGAAATGCTGACTTATTCAATAAGAATGCATGTTTCATCCATTTAAAATACTAGAACAGCAGTCATTCTTCAAGCCATGGGGAAACCTCCAAATCTAGGCAATATTTCAGTGGGAATTTTTTACAGACATCTTCCAGCTCTGCAGTGCCCCTATTGTTACCATGCATACAAGAAATAGTTGAGGTTAAGACTAATGATTCTGGCCAGCAATGCCAAACCAAGAACACAGATTACAAGCCAAAGAAAAGTAACTTTACATTAAAGCCGTTGTATGTCACTGGCACCACAGAGTATGTGGAAATTGCAACTCATCTTTCTCTGGCCCCCTTTTGGCTGCTAGGAGGTTGCAAAGTCGTCGTAGCCACACTTTCAGAGCTTTCAGGATTGGGTCCAAAGAAAAGCAGCTTGCTATCCAAAGCAAGAGCAAGATGTTTCTGGCAGTCTTGAAGCCTTCTAGAATGAATTGTCAAGATTTCTATTTCTCTATATGGAAACTCTTAAAGAGACACAGACACTATGAGCAAATATGACATCCGCTAGAAGAAGGTTTTCATAAAAGGAAGTGATGACCAAAAAGAGAAGGATTTACCTTAAATAATAGCCAACTCCCCATTTTCTCTTCAGGTAAAGAGATGAACCAATACACTGTAATCTCCCATTTGAGAGAAAAGCTTTCCGATCTAAGGAGGTACAAATACAACGGATTTAAATTGGATTCACGACAGTATCATAGAGCAGCTTCATTCAGCATCTTCTGAACTCAGTCATTTGCATAACGAAGTCGAGAGGAGTAAAACCAGGTCACTGCTGAAGGTTTTTTTTGTTTTTTTGTTTTTTTGGTTTTTTTAAGTTGTCTGCCTTTTTTCTAAGCACTTTTGTTACTTTTCATTATGCATTCTTACAGCTTACACAAAATTTCCCATACAGTCTAAGAGCAATAAGGAAACAGGACAGATTAATTCAGACAATATCACTAATTTGCACTGGTGCTGCTAGTGGTAGGTTCATATATAATGCAACTGCTTCACACTGAAGCAGAACGTGAACTGCAAGGTCTTGGAAGAGCACTTTAGTCTGGTTTTATCTTTTACTCAGCCTAGGCTGGGTGTTTGCTATCAAATAAAACTTGTCTAGCAAGCATAGACAGAAAGCATCATGTCAGGACTCCATAGATGCTGCTCTGCAACGGGAAGCCCTCGCTTCCAAATCACATTCAATTACAGCATGAAAATCTGGACTCACCAGCATGACTATCAGCCTCATCCATGAACTGGGGCGTCACACGACCAGCTTTATTTTCCGTCAGAAGACGCCATATGTGCTGCCTGGAGGAGGGATCTAACCCCACTGTTGGCTCATCTAAAAGCAACACCTACAAAGGTGAGTGAGATCAGACCTCCATGTTCCTGGGTGTCCAAGCCAGCATTTACACAGTTCCATTTGAATGCTTTTTAAAATCTCGTTCTAAGGGTAAAATGCAACTGCAAATGACTGCCATTGTTATTGCTCTTTCTCCTAATTTAATACTACACTTTGTTTAAACATAGTTCTCATTGACCTAGATTCCATTTCCTTTTGGCAGCCAAGTCAATTAGTAGGTCAGCAGATTTGGAAAGGGAAAAGAAGTACAAATTTGTCCCAAATCAAAATGCAAAACTATTCACTAAATCTTTGTGTATGCACAAATACGGTCTGCTCCCTACCTTTGGATTCCCTAAAATTGCAATTCCAAGAGACAATTTTCTTTTTTGTCCCCCACTCAGAGTATCAGGGCGGACATCCTGAAGATCGGTGAGATCCAACGCTGTCAGAGCTTTCTGCACCTTTGCAATATACAAAAATAAAGGCCAAACTTCAGTTTCAAGGTTTTGAGACTGTCTGCTGAAAACGCACATTGGGACTACAATAGCTCCAAAATATTAGGCACGTTTTGTTTCACACGCGTCTACAGACAGTACACAAGAGCATAGCTTCAAGGTTTAAAACTTCACTGCTTTAAATGGATTTCCATTGAGATAAACATTGCAAATCAGAATTCTAACTCTTATGACATGAGAATAAGAGAATTAAAATGCACTTCTTTCCTAAATTAGGGATAGTCTCGTTTCCAAAGAATGAAACACTGGTAATAATCTTTTATAAATCTAGCTCAACAAACTGTTCAGGGTGCTGTAAAACAAAGGTCAGTCACCAAATACATACCAACCTCTTGCTCGACTTCCTTCTTGTGAATCCCTTTGATGTGAGCAAAAGTTCTCAGGTTTTCCTTCACTGTTAAGACTTCAAAATGTAAGTTTAATTGCGGGCAAATCCCAACGATTGCCTGAATTCCTTCCATATCCTGTATTTCAGATACATTGTAGTTGTATATCATTGCAGAACCTGCACATAGGGATAAATGAAACCAATTTTATAGTGTACACAATTTCTCAGTCATATGGGGAAATCACACTGATTTGTGCTCATGCCTTTAACATTAAATCCAGGATCATGACTGTTTCTCTGATGTTAAAAAAAAAAATAAGGTGAGCAGAATAACTTTCTGTTGTTCAAAGCTTTTAACACCAGTCAAAAATATTTCAGAACACCATCTCTCTCTCTTTGGAACTAAAATATATTTCCTGTAGACATGAAGCTCAAGGAAAACATCAGACATCCAGATGGGAAACAACCATCTGTGGATGCTTGCACACACGAGCATATCCACGAGCGATATGTTAGCCCTGAAGCATTTGCTGAGGGAACAACCTGCACTAACAATAAACTAGATGAATGACCCAAGAGAAAGCTGCTGCCTTTTTCGTTTTTTTCTTTTTTTTTTTTTTTTTTTGTTTCTTCACCCTAGTACACTTGAAAGCCAGATAGCTTCTCATCTTCAGCATACGGGTCCATCATCTTACCTGCTGAAGGCTGGGAAAATCCACTGAGCACGTTTAATACAGCAGTTTTTCCAGATCCACTGTGACCAAGTAATGCAGTGATCTGGCCTTCATAAACATTTAACGACAAGCCTAGAATAGAAATAGGATAATATTAGGATGAAAGTCTGTGAGGGAAATAGATTTGTACCTGGAGTTTATTGCCAAGTATGATAGAAGAGCGTAAAGTCATTTGTTTTGGGGAAGACAGGCAAAAACACAGATCCAAAAGCATGGGTTGCATCTTCACAATTCAGTTTACATGCTGAGAGGGTCAAGAAGTGCTTTTACATAATGGTTCATGGCCGTAAATATACAACTTTGAGGAGACTCCTGTTATTGCAAAAAATAAGAAGAAGTGATTTTTCTAGAGTGAGCAAGAAAATAAGATAACCCACTTTTAGGAATCGGCAAGTAATTTATACCAGCAGAAATAATCACTGCAAAATGTATTTTAACTCAACAGTGCTGGAGGCAGAATTAAGTACATCCCGAACAGTTCAAAACAGTTTTCATTTATAAATAATAAAGAGTGACATTAAAGCATTATAAAACCCCTCTTACCTCTTAAAGCTTCTGTTCTCTTGTTCTTCTTTTTATATGTTTTTTTAATATTGCTTAGTCTAAAGGAAAGGTAAGCAAGCTGTTACTACTGAATCTCACAATTTTGGCATGTTTCTTCTGCCTGGAAGTAAACTACAAAAACTGTTGGAAGGATATTCCTCAACGTCCTCCTCAAATTGATTCTGCTTGTCACCATCAGGGCGTAAGTACATTTCCTCATGAAGAAACTGCTTTATATAATTCATTTCTTAAAAGGGAATTTAGTTAAAGCAATTTTCTAAACGATGGCAAAAAGTCTGAAAGTCGAACTCAACAACTGATTAATTAATGAAGGAGAAGGCCATAAGGAATGAAATAGCACATGGTTATATATAATCAAAGATGATCATAACATGCACATGCAACAGGGCCTGATGACCACAGTACACAAAGCCCTTTTCTTTTGTTTCCTAACTTATGAGCACTTGACTTAAAGGCCTTTGCTGAAGTTCCTTTAGCGCTCTTCTATCTCTACACTTGCCCTCCTTCATCTCCCTGGAGAACCTACAAGGATGTATGTATTATTTTAGCAGGTATGCATTTACCTTTTAGTCATCAGCTTTGGGCAGCAAAAGCAATGGGCTAAACTAGCTTCGTAAGGATGTAAACAACAGTATCTTATTCAATACGCTCCATCCGTTGAACTTAAAGATGACAGCGAAGGGGAACAGACTCACTTCTGCTGCTCTGCAAGGAGGAAATTGCTAGGCAGCAGGTAGGTCACTGGCACAACCAGGAGGAGAAGCTGCATGCCCTACTCAGAGTTTAGATCCAGAGGATGGCACATTCAATAAACGTCCAAAAATACCCATAGGGAAAGAATGAAACACTGAATAAACCCTCCATTTCAAGTATTTGCAGTATAAAATGCTGCCAGTTTTTCTCAATATATTGACATAAGTGACAAGGACTCCAGAGTGCTCCGCGCATCCAGTGGGCCAAATTATTACAACCTATTACAACCAATAAGAACTTCTCTGATTTCAAAAGAAGTGACAGAAGAAGAAAATCCAGTTATTGATCTTCCTGTATTTTAGAAAGCTCAGTCTAACATTCACCAGTGCAATAGTGGCTATGCTATCCAGACTCAGAAATAACGTGTAGGGGCTGTGTTTCATGCCTACAAGAGTCTTTACCTGATCGCTTCCTTCCCATTGAACTCTGGGGGCATCGGCTCCTCATTATTACTGAGGAGAGGTCCATGGCTGGTCCTATTGCCAGCTCTCTCCCCTGTGTATCTGCTCCTGCTTTGGAACCAGAACGATGGTTTCAGGAAGAATGAAGGAGGATACTGTACTCCATATTTGCCTAATTCAGAAACAAAGGAGGTGAAATATCAACCAAAAATTGCTACATGTCAATTCAACTTTGATAAAAGCCATATTCAGCCATCTCTTCTCATATAGGCACAGAATGAATGTCTTTTGGAGGAATAGAAGGGTTGGTGATTCCTGCGATCAAGGTTGCCCACTTGTCTGTATCTGTAAATGCACGCAGGCAACAATCACAGCAAACACCTCACTGATCATCCCTCTACTTGATTTCAAAATGTATTCTGAGCCAAAGTCCTGCAGTATCCTTTTAAAACCCAGTGGTTACATCTGCTGAAGTAGATCTTAGGGATCTCAGGGCCTCACTGCAGGATTTAGGGTTCCTTTTGAAGGCTGTTTCTGAGGCAGAGCCAAATTAGGTAGCTACACGCACCCAGCCTTTGGGAAAACAGGGTTCTTCCCAACAGTTTCTTCCTCACGAATATGGCAATTCCAGTTTTCAGCCCCTCACGTAATGTGGCATGGCACAGTTCCGTCAAGATGCCGTTCCACAACCTGACCACCTTGCTTCTGGGTCATCTTTTTTGCTACTCCACATAGATCACAATTTTCTCAGCTCTATCCCACTGCTCCTTCAGCACCTCAGTCTCTATGAGATGGGAGGGTTATAGAAAAAAGGTGCAAGGAGATTCATATTCTTTCCCTGACATTTCTACTTACCAGGTAGAACTTTATTGAAGTAGATGGCCAACAGCATATATAAAACACTGTCAAGGGTCAGTATGATGTATAGGTTAAAGAAAGGATACAACTCTGGTGTAAGCGTTGCACCATATTTTTCTAATTTTATAATCTAGGGGTGGAAAAAAGTACAAATCAGATGCAATGCTTCCTTGCAGAGATACTATGTGCAAGCCCCTGTTGTCACATTGTCATTGTTATTCACTATAAACCAATGCCTACTTGTGATCATGACATCGTCTTCAAGCTCTGCAACACTTTCTGACCAGAAGCAGCAGAAGTGCTTCACTAAGCTGAACTCAAATTTTGTGTAGGAGGAGTCACTGCATAGGAAGGGTGACACCACACGGTATCCTCTGGGGAACCAGTCAGGCTTCACTGGTTCTTGCTGAACTCAGAACCTGCCAGACACGTCCACTGTTGCAACAGTTTTCTGGACACAGAAATTTATGGTATATATAGAGGTGGTAAACTTCATGATGCAAATGAGAGTCTGTGTTTGTTACAAATTAGTATGTTCATATTTACAGGGGTCAAGCTTTCTTTTTACAAATCACTTCGCATGGAGTTGCCCTGACTGGGTCACTGTAGCAATGGAAATTATATGTGGCAGCTACCCTGCCCACTCTCCCAAGTCTGCAGGGTGTTTGCTGTGGGTTAAACTTTTATGATGTGCTGGCTTTACTTGAGCATACCTTTGAGATCCCAGCTGTACAGACAAAAGGACTGGCGAGATTAAAAATCCATTCCAAAGGTGGAGGTAGTTTTTCAAACCATGTCATAAAGCCCAGACATCCAAAGATAACGTGAAGGACAAATCCCACAAAAATGGCAATATTAGGCTGCTTTACCAATGAGCTGAGCATAAAATAGAAGTGAATCTGCAGAAGAGAAAAACAGTGATTGGCAGCATGCATTTTTGCTGATGACTAAGGAATATCACACACAAAAATCTAACAAGCAGCGTCAGAGACATGGCTGGGGTTTGTTGTCCTCTACAGACCAAGTTCTTAGAAAGTGAAATCAAAGACCACTGCATACACATGGCAACTCAGAAAGCTTGCCTCATTTAGCAGACGGCTGTAATTTAGGGTAGGTCTACGGAAGATCAGACCCCTTTCTGCCTCCTGAGTAGGCTGGACATGAGGCAGCCCCAGAGCCATTCAGCTCAAAGCTGGGATGATCCATGCACTTGACACTGGCTGTCAATACAGTCTCTAAATAAATTACCATTTTCCTTGGAAGGTCCGTGCTCTGCGTAAAATATAAATATACGAAAATTGAGAAGTTTTGGGAGGTTCTGACTTGAAATCAAAAACTTGCCTGATATGTTAGCCTACCAATTTAACAATAAAACCCTAAGCAGTGCAGCAGAAGGCTTTTTGTTACTTCCCGATACAGTGCCCTGCCCTATTCCGTAATCTAAGTTTATAAACACTTTAATTAGCAAGTGGAAAAATCCACACATAATTTAAAAACATAAAAGCAGACTTACAGATGCTATGCCATAAAAGAAATAAAAGAAAAATATTTCAGCAAAGTTGCCTTCACAGATGACTTCATTAACCGTGATGGCTGCCAGCATGCTTGCCATTATTGAAATGTAAACGGTGTATAGCAAGGTCCAGGACAACCTGCAAATGAAGGCATAGTTATTTTTGTCTCTGTAAGTGACAGCAGTTGCCACGACGTATCTGCTACAAGACATACGCTTTTAAATTCAAATGCTTAGTAATTCTGCGAACAGGCTCTGGGTAGACCGTTGATCATTTCCAATGTGCTCCTGAATTTCTCATTTCCTCCCTTTTTTGTTCTCTGCTTACTGATCCATTTCCTATAGGCATACCAAACCCAGACCCCAAGATCTTTGCTACGTGCGTCTCTGCTACATGGACCCTGTGCTTCCTCTCCGCTTTCAGGAGGAGAGACCTTTATAAAACAAAAAACCAAATCTGGTATCTGAGTAACGTGCTTGGAAACTTAGGTCCTCCAGCAAACAATACAGTACCGATAAATGCAGCACAGTTTTCTACACGTTGCTATCAATACATCGCAACAACATGCAGAACCTTGCTTCAGAGAGCCTGCGCGTATGGCTGGAAGATCACAAATGACCGCTGCCGGCATTTCCCGAGTTCCTGCTTCTCAGCTGAGCGGTGACAGCAGACCCACGTCCGCACTTTAACGTAACATGTTCAGGTAACGGGCTCACTTGCGATTGGGAAAGTATCAAGAGCCCAGACGCTGTGCAAGTTATTGCATCTCATGACCAGCAGAAACTCTTTAAGCCCTGGTAGCTTAATCACTGGCAGCCAGGTAGATGAGGACAGAGAGGATATGCGTGGCAGGTGGTCTCCTGGTAAGTCCATCACCGGGGCTGCTGGTTGCATCCCCCCGACTCACTGAGCAAAGGCTGGTGAACCTCGAGTTTGGAAATGAAGCTGAGCTGCCCTCTGGACTGACACTTGTATTCTAGCAAATACAATCCCTGCAATTACGTCCAGTTTATCTCCTTCTATTAGACTTACCAGAATGCGATATCTTGTAAACCCATTGCTGTCATTAAAACCTTGAGCTTCTTTTTCTCTCTTATAACTTTCAGTGATAAAAAGTACATATATGGAGAGAAACACAACAGAATGCAAAAAATGAACCAAATATATTCCAATTTATGTGAAGGTTTGATCAAGGGTGATTTCAGACGAATGCCACTAATTGATTTCATCTCTTCCCAGACGGAATGATTTGTTTTCATCTAAAGAGCAGAAATTAGCCATTAATTTGATTTTTCATAATGAAATAGTCAACATCAGACTAAACACCTATTCATAAGCATTAAAGTTATTAGTTTCTCAGTGACAATGTTACGTTCTTAAGTGGCAAATTTGCCTCACTATTTAATGTACTTCCGTATTTCCACGTAGTAAATGACAATGCTGCCTTGAGCTATGAGTACAACCATGACCTAAAAAAACAGACGGAACAAAAACACAACAGAAGCAGAAGAGAAGTTATAGGATAGCTAAAGGACAGTAAATGCACAGCTTTACTGCTCTGCAAATATTGTGTTTGGAGTCAATCAATTTTTTATGATGAAATAGTTTTCCACTGAAAAACAGAGTTCAGGAAATACTGAACATTTCAAATTTGTCTTGTTTTTGAGATTTTGGTTTTTATCAAATTGGTCCATTCTGAAAAATAACAGTTTTAGCTATGGGGTTTCCATTCATTTTACTCTGACTTTTCCTGTAAATTCGCAAAAAAATAAAGGAAAAAGAAGTGAGGAAACAAAACGACTTCTACCTCCACAAAGGGATGGGCAGTCTCTAAGTGAGCCACAGCCCAAAGTTACTCCACAGCTTGGTTCTGACTGCTAATTTTCAAGGCAACACAGGAAGCTTCTTGTACTCAAATGATAGGTGCAATTTGCCAAGATGATCCATCATTCTTTTAACTTTTTAATCACATTAAGTATTTCAAAATTAATGACCACAGAAAATGAACCTTTTTTTTTTTTAAATAAAGTTCAATAACTCAAAAAAACAAATTTATTTTCCATCACGATCATACTTACCTCTATCACTGCTGCATCAATGCTGGACTGCAGTGATAAAAAACCTGCGTACCAGTACGAAGGAATGTTGCAATAGCTCGATGAAAAATTGGAGCAGGCCTCTGTAGGAAAGAAAGAAAATGAAGTATTTTACCTATATATTTACGTATACATACACATATGCATATACATACATACACAGACACACACACGTGTGTGTGTGTGTGTGTGTGTGTGTGTGTGGTGTGAGGTGACTATTTGACCTAAGAGTCAGAAAGTTAAGATTTAACATCACTCAGCCTTTCCCTCGGAGCTGCCATTTTCCCCTAAGAACAATGCGGTTTTGGGAGTCGATGGCTTTGGCTCCGTGGACCACTTGATATAACAGCAACGTTGTCTTCACGGCACGGCACGGCAGAGCCAGCCAGCCTCCCCAGCGCTTCTGGCAGAAACTCTCCAATGTTGTTTCGGATGATTTATTTCTTTTAGTTAGCAAATAGGGGTGCATTTGGTCTTACCCAAGAAAGATGGGGACAAACGTGTGTGCGTGTTTATTTTTTAATATATTAAATGCGTATCAATTCACTGCCTGTTAGAAGTAGGTTAGTGCACACAATGCTCATTTTCTGTGCATGTTCTGACATGATAAGACACAGAGGGAGCATGAGAGCAAGGAATTTTGAGAACGTGTGTTCTTAAAATTTTTTTCCTGTCATTTAAATTTCTTTTTAAGGAAATAAAAATTCAAATTCCTATTATTATACTCCCTTGAAGCATTTAACACACACAGCCTAGATCCCACCCAAGTGGGGAGGCAGCACAGAGATTCATCTTAGCAGCTTGCTACGTAAAATCACTTCTCTAGATTAATTTATTTCTGTTACCAATATCGTCAAAGACATCATTTGGAGCTATCATATTGTAGCTTTGAAATCTGAGACTATAGGAGGAGTCGTCCTTAAAAACAACACCAATAAGGTCTCTATCCAAAGTTCCTTTTGTTTCCAGCATTTCCTCATTTTCCACTTCTTCGGTTTTTATACCTGTCATTTCCAAACAAAAAACAAAACAAACACAGCAGAATTTCGGATTAGCGACGCAACAACATGAAAATGGGCATTAGCCACATTTTGTATTCCTACAAACTGTGTTGGCCATTCCTTCCCCCCAGTTTTTTTTTTTTTTTGGGGGGGGGGTGTTTAGCTTCCTCCCCTCCCCAAGGTATAAGGTATGCAAGGTGTTCTTTGGCATGCAAGAAGGGACTCAATACACTCTGCAATGATTTATCAGTAAGAGGAGATTCAACAGACATAGAAGGGATTTCTCTGAAGCTTTCCCCCCCACTGTTAAATAAAACACTTTGCTCTGGACGATTCTCGGCTGTCTCCCTGATCATCAGTCAGGTGCACGCATTCTGGCTGGGCCAGTATGAAATCAAATCTTTGGCCTACAGAAACCATCTGCTAAGAAAAGACCAAACAAGGGGACAGCTACAGCCAGTCCCCTAACACCGATAATGCAGACTGATGTACTCATACCGTCAGGGTAGAACAGATACTGTAACGATAAACAAGGATTTAACAGCAGCATTACCCATCATTACAGAATCTGAAGCCACCTTATTCATTATTTGCCTGGTGGTGCTTGTTACAGGTGTATATGCAAGTGTAACTCCAGTAGCATTAAAGGCAGGATCATCTAAGTGTCCAAGGAAGTCGTAAGGGATTTCTTGCCGTGGGTAATGGAACATCAGTTTTGATGACGTGTATATTACGAAGACAAAAAGCAGCGATGTAAACCACTCCTAGATGAAAAGGAGGAAATAAAGGTGAGCGGCAGCACAGCGTTTTGAAAGTGAGGTGGTATGGAAAAGGTCTGGTCCTGCTTCAAGGACTCTTCTCATTAAGTGCTGATCTGCCTGCAAGGTCCAGTTCCTCCAGACATGAATGTTTTCTCTATGTAAATGAGGAGCAGCTATTTTGCAGGTGTAATAGTTTTAGAATAAGAGGAATGTTTGAAGTGAAACACATGTTTTCTTAGTACCAGAGCCAACGAGGTCTGCAGATAATTCTGTATCAGTAATTGTGAATTGGACATTGTGTTCTTCTGGACAGTGAAGAAATGGGATCAACAACTGAAAGCAATAAGCCAGCTTTGAAGCAAGCTGCTATTAAGCTGTGAGAGTGTTGGGTCACTGAAAGAATTGTAACTGCTGACATTTCCCAGAGAACCACACTATCCGCTGTGGCGTTTCATATATCACCTGGCACAAAAACCAATATGGCATAAAAACACTTCACAGTGGAAATCCTGTCTTCTTCTTGGTAGACCAGATACTTGCCTGAAAAGTTTCCATTTTCATCCTCCACACCATAAGAATATTTTTCCATAAGAGAGCACGAGTTTGTTGAAATATTTTGGAGGCTCTCTCACATATTCTCTGCATTTTCCCAGCTAGGATGAGAAATAAAATATCATTTAGAATAAAACACATTACTGAAAGTTAATATATTCACTCGGGTAAGCGCCACTTCAGGGAAAGCCAAAGAACATGGCAAAGGTTAAGAGCTTTTCCCATTTTACAGTTTGGACATCCAAGGAGAAGTTCAAAGGAAATGGTCCAAGATCACACAAGCGGCCACAGAGCTGTGCTGGACGCAGCTGTCTCTTTCAGATTCGCAAATTAATCCTACTTCATCCCAAAGAGGCTTAGCAGAAAGATGCATTTAACTAGGTGTAATTTGATTCGTCAGCTACATAAAATTAACAACAACAGAAATGCCATTCTCTTCTGCGCTAAAAATCTGAAAGGAGTGGCAAATAAAAGAATGTTTAATTTTCAAAATATTTCTAATGCAGTTATTCAAAACAGTTAAAATATCTATAATTTGCAGCAACAGTGTAAATTCCAGCTTTTGAGTGCAGTAGTCCTGGCTTAATGCCGTACGTCCAGCTGAGCCTCAAACCCTGCATTTCTGGAGGCAAAGGTAGGTATTGCCCGAGACAGGCGGAGTTCGCTGGTAAGCCAGTGCTCACGCTGTCTGCTCCAGCCATTGCAACGAGCCCCGAAACGCCTCCGTTACAAACGTCCCGTCTCCCTGCATTGACCACAGCGGGGAGGCAGCTGTCATTCAGGAGGTCAAGTTAGAAACTTAGGTTAGATGCTAAAAGTGCCCTAAAATAGACGCTGTCAGCATCTCCCTTAAACAAGGGAGAGACCTACTTGTCTTGCGTTCACACAAACGCTAATACACCTGATAACAACTCTGATATAGCTAGAGCAGGGGAACACGAACAAAACAGCGGTTGGTTCCTTTACGCCCACCTAAATACTAAACAGGAAAATACTGGCGTTGGGGAATTTTTATTTCAGCTCTGATTTTGACCACGCAGCCACGTAGCAAACACCCTGCGCAGTAAAAGCAGCAATTTCAGAGCGACTGGTTTCACCACCGTCCCAGAACAAGAGCTGGGGAGGGAGCCTCAGAACATGTTTTTGTATTTGCTCCTTTAGAATGACTGAAACCCAAATCAAAGCAACCTCAAATGCATTGTGCTCTTTTCCCTTTGGACATCATTTCCTGATTTTGCGGATTGGCCAGCTGGAGTTAATAAACGATTCTACTACTCTGTTCCCTTTATTGTTTGTTTTTGGAAGAATTAAATATTTGCATACTGCAGGGGCAAGAGACCCAGAATATCTGTTTACCCTTGGACTGTTAGCATAAAGTCTTATCTCCAGAGAGCTCTGGTTTTTTTCTGCCTGGAACTTTCTCCTGTGCTTAGACATCATAGTCTACTATGAAGGTTAAAGGCAATTAGGAAGCAATTTCTAGGAAGTGCTACTTTTTTGCCAAAGCGTGGATTTCACTCTTCATAAACTGAAACCAGCACCACATCAGAGACAAGATACTCGGGCAGCAAACCAAGTTTCACACTGCAGTATTTGGGAACAAGAAAAACATTATCGTCTTATAAAAATTGCACTGAATTTCGACAGACATAATGGAAACACTTCGTTAAAAAAGTCCAACTAAATTTGTACCACTTTTAACCTTATTTTTGCTGTCAGAGTAAGAAGCACATACCCCCTGCAACCTGAAACATTAAGCTGCCAGAAAGTCAAACAAATGACGATGCCTACAAATGCTGTAGGAACTTGGTCAGGAAGAATTTCACTTTAAATTTGATATTAAAAGACAAAACTTCAGCAATTTGAAACAGCGGGCTTGGAAGACAAAAAACAAACAGCCAGAAATATATTTTGAGGCAACAAGGTCTGAGAAGTCATTAGCCAAAGCATCACTTGTAAAAGTGACCGTATCACTGAATGTCTCTGAAAAATCTCCTATCTGAGGACTCAGCAAATGCACCCACACTTCTTGTTCTCCAGGAACACGCTTCCTAGGTGCTGCAACAACTTTCAGTGGGATTTTGTGTCTAATCTTGTTATACCAAAGGTTGTCCCAGGAAGGCATGTCCCATATAACCACTTCATTTCTTCCTTTACTTACTGTCTCCAGGATTTCCTACTTGGCACCTCCTCAGATTTTTCTCTTAAGAAAAATTAACAGAGCATATTGTGACCAACTCCTAAAAGCTGCTCTTCAGGATTGCTGGCAGGAAGCTTTCAGCGCTGGCTACAAATAAAGAAACGTGGGTTGCATCTTGCTGTGCTTCCAAGGGGAGCTGCTGACTTTCCGAGAGACAATGATTAATCCCTGCGCGTAGGGAGTGCAGAGGTGAACACGCTCTCTCAATACAGTCCTGTTTGCAAATTACTGCAAAAACAAAAAACTGCCATTGGCCCCTAAACAACCCTTTCTTTACCACCTGATGAATGTAAGGCAGATTTGTACCGACTCCTCTCTTTAATACACAGCTTTTACAACTTTTTTTTTTCTTTACTTTCAGCTCCAGAAAGTTAGCTCTGAACCCGTCCTGCATCAGAGTTCAACGTTTTAATTTATACAGAGAAGTGAACTTTGATGATCCCCATTTTTAGAAGCTGTTACTGGTGATGGCAAGGCCAGGGGACAGAGAGGAACGAAGGGACAAGCAGCTAGCTAGGAGGACTTAGAGCTGGAGCATTCAACCTGCGGTGCTCAGCCTACAGCAGTACATCAGCGGCAAGAATCCAAATCCATGCACATCCAGAAAAGCAGAACATTTTTGTTCCTTTGCCTCTTGTTGATGCAAGATCCTGATGCAAGGTTGAATGTTTGTCAGAGAACAGAGCTAGAAAGTACAGCTTTTGCTTTTTTAGCATAACGTCGTTTTAGAAGAATGGGAATAAAAATCATGAAATGCAACCCCCATGAAAACGCAACCGACACAATTTTTCCACTTACAAAATAGAAACATGAAACTTCTTACCTGGTAACGTGTTTTCCATTAGAAGCGTGTCTCCTGCAGCTCTGTGATGTCTGGGCTCCTCGTCTCTTTGCCGTCCTGGAGATGGTTCAACACTGTAACGCAGCCTGTTGGCCATGCCCCTCTCCAGCCTGACGTCACCGAGTTAGTTCACAGTGGTGTGAATGCTCTCAACATTTCTGGAGCAACAGCAATGACTGTGCCAACCAGTGAGCTAGCTGGAGTAACACCTACAAACCAGGCGGTCTAGAGCTTGGAGGTATTAACACTACTTTTTGCTGCATTTAAATATGACATGTGCATAGTGTGTAGTATCATAGCACATTTCTACAGGCTTATAACCTATGTATATACCATGAAATAATGAGAAGAAATATTAAAACATAAGCCAAGCATGAATTCACATGAGAGGCATTCTTAAGAAGAAAAATACTTGATTGAAAAAAAAAAAAGAAAAGTCTGCTCAATTTTTACCATACCGGCAACAAAATGACACTTTCCAACAAAATAGTTTTAAAGGAAAAATTTGGCCTGGCTTAAATGCTTGTTCATGCATTTACCTTTGCTAAGGATTTCCCACGTGCTCCGATTAGACTCACGGAGAATTGCAGCAGGAGTGCTGCTGTGCGCTGAGACGAGGTGGTCACAAGCTCCTGAACTTACTCCAGCCTCATGGTGAAGAAACCAAGTCCTTGCCTGCTAGTAATGAATTATCCGGAGGGAAAACCTCCACTGCCTTTTTCTTATCTTGCTTAGAGCCTGAGTCAGCAAGTATTCCTTCCTCTGCAGAGATGAATCTTGTGTCCAAAGACCAATGGTATTTTTATTTCTTGTTTTTATTCCCCCCCCTTTTTTTTTTGTTAATAATTTTTGAGTTTCCACTCCTTTTCATTGCTTTTCCAGCAGCTGTCACACAGCTGGAATCAGGATAGGGAATTTATTTAGTTTTTAATAGGTTTTCAGTGGATTTGCTTTCAAAATACGGAGGTAAGGAAATCAGATAAGCCAGGAAATGCAAATGAATTGGAAGCCTATATACTCACACAACAATTCAAGTAGTTGAAAGAATGTAATTTGATTGTCCTGGAACTTCAACAGCTTAAGGACTCTGCATCTGATTTGCAGAATTTAGTAAAGAAAACAAAAGTAATCTGGTTGTTGCTGAAGAAAAGGCTGTAGCTCTTTTGCAGCTGCTGAGTTTGTCATTGTCCAGGAATGGGGTCTTTAGAAGGAGAATGCTCGGGCGCTTCTCTAAACAGTACTACAGTGTTTCAAAAAAACCATGCACACACACCAGCTCACAGTCCCCTTGGAACAGCTGGCCCAATGCAAACAGCTCTGGCATACCTTCTCGTTATCTCCAGAAGATGCATTTTAACATAAAAATGACACCTCTCCTTGGGACGCCTTTGGGTTTACCTTCCTGTGTAGTGGAGGACCGCTTGGACCCTGCCAATGAGCTAGGGCTCCATGTAAGTCTAACCCTTTGGGGCTTCACTGAAAAGCAGCTAGACAGCACATATCATCTTAAAATCCTGTGGATACGATCATAAAGCAGCTGCAACGCAAGGTTTTGGATGAGTGAATTCAGGGCCGGCCAGAGAGAACAGCCCTTCCAGATCTACCAGGAGGAGAAAAGGATGTGGGCATCGAGTTAGTGCCTTCGGAGGGAACACTTGAAACAATTCACTTCAGAAAAAAGGAGAACCGAAAGCTACAAGAAACTGTTTTCAAAAAAACAAAAAAATCGGAATGGGGCTTCCTGAAGATTTCTAAGGCAACACTACAGGAAAATTAACTGCTTTTCCAGTTTTTAAAAAACAGCAAGCTACCCTTAACACACCACTGAAGAAGAATTAGTATGAAAACCCGGAAAATTCAACCAAGTTCTGATTTGATTTCTTCAGAGATAATTTTTCTCCCTCCTGATGGGCACAGCAGAGTCCTCTGCAGGCACAAACACAAACTTGCTGCAACAACTTGTTGTTGCATCAAGTCCTTAAATGACCTGCAGTGCTGGAAGCCACCTTGTCCTCCTCGGCACCAAGGCTCTTCGGCAACTGTCACGTTTCCGGCAGGAGCTCCTCTCCCCTCGCACTCATCCAGCCACACAGTGAATATGTCTGAGGCACTGATCCAACTGCAAATGAACTGTTCTGGCTGGGCTGACTTTTCAAGCGGATCAGTCTGATTCACCTATGCAGAGGCACAATTACCAGTGTCAGGAGTAAGCAACTGCCTTGGGATCACTTTCAGCAACAGCCCAAAGTTGCTCTGAATTGATCTGGCTGTGAAAGGCAACACTCTTGCAGGGTGCTGAATCCAAAGTATTGCAATATCATTTTGTGGGTGATTAATTACCACCAACGACAAAACACTACACTTCCCTGAATCCAACTGAAAACATGATCTTAACCCCTGCATTAAAAAGCCACTGATTAAACCCACCGTTTTCATGATCTATACAGCCTCATCTTCCAAAACAAAACCAGAAGCCCTCCCAACACCCACAGACCCAACACAAATAAGGACCAAATCCAATAAAGGATTTGGGTGCTAAAAGGAAGAGCAAAAAGAGCGGCGACTTAGATACCTGATTGCAGACTGCAAAGTGGAAACCTTCCCTCTGAGCTGCTGTCCCATCCTCTCCGGCCTCACCTGGGTGGCTCACGGAGCCAGCCCTGCACCCTAGCGGGAACCCAGACCTCGGCGCTCACTGCCAAAGCCCCGGGAGCTGCAGGGCAACAGCTTTTCTTCACCCAGCCCGGCCGGTCTTGCAAAGCTCGCTTACCCCTATACCCTGGCGCTCTCCGTGGAACATCGGAAGCCCTGCTTCTAGCACCACAAAACACATGCTTAATAGAAACACAAGATCTAATCCAATCCTCCTTTACTTCAGTATCACCTTCTGCTGGAAAAGGAAAAAAAAAAAAAAAAACTTTGCTTATTTTATAAATACAGCAAAGCGATAAAGGAAAAAAAACCCAAACAAAATAAATCACGAACGATTCAAAGTTCCTGACTGCGATGTCAGGACGAGCATTAGAAGTATAACACATTCAAATCTGCTACCTTCTGCTTCTTACTACCAGAAATACTGGCTGTCCTCTATGTAACAGACTGCGCTCACTGTGCGGACAGATTTTTAAAGAAGGACTTTTCCTGCTAATGTGAACAAGATCAGAATTATTAAATTCTCCCACATAAAAACATATCCTTATACTAACCTTATACTACATTAAATTATATACTAGCTGACTTTTCCTCACAACATCCCTGCAAGGTAGGTGAAGAATCATTATACCTAGAAATGGTGCACCGAGTTAAGTCATTTGCCTCGAGTCCCACAGGCACATCATAGTCAGGACGTGATAGTCAGGCACATCATAGTCAGCACTGCCTTGATTTCTGCTTATTTTCTGTCTTAAATCACAAACTGCATCTCATGACTGTATGGCTGGGGTTCAGTTCATCACTGATGACAGCTGATCTACATCAGAGGGACATTGTGTGACGCTTTGGAAGACTCTTGGTTACACAGTACAATATGATTTTGGCAAAGTCGTGGAGTGGTATTTCGTACCACATTGTAACATGATATCGTCACATAGAACAGCAGATCCTACCCAACTACACCGTTACCTTAATGAGCCAAATTCTTTGTACAAGCAGCTGTATGAATGCAGTGCCACCACCAACTGGGTTATGGCAGTATAAACAAGTATAGTACCAAGCCGAGCAAATCTAGATGCTAACAAAGTTTTCATACGGCCCATTAGAAATATTAGAAAATAAGACCCCTACTAGAAAAGTTTTGGTGATATTATCCAAACAAATACTATGGTATAGAGTAAGAACTGCTTTGCAGCCTATTAACTATGGTTGTAAATGAAAGAGAATAAAATTGAGGAAAGATGCCAAGTAAAACAAGTCAGAACCGCACTTTCATAAGTTTATGTGAAAAGAGTGTGCTGTACATTATGCTAGACAGATGTACAGATGACACAGCTGATGCAATTTTAATACAATTTACAAAGAGAGATGAAATTAAGAACTGCAACATGATTTAGAGAAAACATTTATCTTGTGTGTATATTCATGGGAAAGTATCATGAGACAAAACTCAGTCCTGCTTTTATTACAACTAGAGTGAAACACTCAGAAGTATTGGCCAGCTGCAGGGATGTAGATGGGAGCAGTTGGCTGGTGGATTCCTAGGTGCTAAATAAAAGAGAGCAACAGGACTGCATGAACAAAGGGGCTGATTCTGGGTCATTTTTCCTTTTTGACAGGGAAGCTTCAACCTGGAAGAGACTGCTACTAGAGCTGCAGTTTACACATTATTGCTTTAAATCAGTTTGTTACCTCTATTTCATTTGCAGCACACCAGAATTGAGCATATGCAAAGACCAGTGCATAGGGCTTATCAGAACAGACAGATCGACTGTCTGCTCTTTTACAGGAAGCAAACCACAGTCAGGGGGTACGTGGGACATCCAGATGTTTGTGCAATTCCTGGGCTCAAACTTAACTACAAAACAAAATCTGTATTGTCATATGCAGTCACAAAGGTACAAAGGAGGAGGGAAAATTTATGCATATGGGTTCACGTCTCCCCCTACTGAATTAAATAACAAGGTTTCTACAGATACCAATGAAAACAGATTTAGGCTCTCAACATTATAATAAACGATTGCCATAAACATTACATACATTATTGCCTGGTCATTACAAATAGTTGGCACACAAAACTCTGCCTTAAGCCATAATTTCTAAGTTTTGACAAGAAAAACAAAGGTATTTTCTAACTTTAGAGTGAGCATACAGAACTGATATGACTAATGAAGCCAATGTTTTGATATAAATGCATCACTAAATTTGTTCATTGCAGAACATAATGAATTATTAACAATCTTTAATTTCACCTTATAAAACTAAATGAGCAATGATAGCTTTGTATAGAAAAACAAAAATAATGCATCTTAAACATACATCTGCCACATCTGAGAATAAAGGATCACATACTCTGCTCCTATTAGTCCTGCAAATTAAAGGCACCATTCCTACTGATGAGGTTG